ACCATTTAGAAGCTAACTTATCAAAATATTTACTTTCGGTCTGTGTACCTCGCCTGCTTTCCCGTGAATTTTTTTCCCATATTTCAATGGATGGCTTTCTACGTTGCTTGTTCCGGCTGCAATCCAAATCGAAACCTTTTGAGTGCCTATCCAAAGTTTCAAGAAATACTCCAAACGGCTGATTGTGCTCTGTTTTGATCCCTACGTTTCACATTCTTTTTGCAATACAAATGAAAACTTTGAAGAAGCATACTGTCTCTCTGGTGGACACACTCCATGTGTTCTTTCTTAACGTCGTACAGTCTGTATCAGTTTGGCCTTGCCTTAGCAATTCCTATTCTCTTGACATTAATGGCCTCTTTGGTTGTTGTTGTTTTTTCTTCGCACAGTCAATACCTTCATTCTGTTACTATAAATTTGTATCTGTAATTGTTGTCATTGGCGCTCTTTTTTTAAACTTTCTTTATGAAGGGTAATTCTCTTCGTCGAACATTAGATTGAACAAAATGCCATAAAATGGCTTTGTAAATGGGGTCAATACGTCTGCAATATATCATTTTGACCTTTTCTCTCAGACATTGATGAGGAAAAAGGTGATGAAGGCAACTGTAAAACTTGAAAACTTGAAAACAAAAAATAAAAAACCCAGAAATCACTACTTCCCGTTTATGCGTTCTGTCTGCACTCTAATATTAGACTTTTGCGTCACTCTTTCTATGCAAGACTTTCTACTTTTCTTCGTAATTACTGCGTATTGATCTGAATTATTTGACTGCCTATCAAAAGTTTTCAGAAATACTTCAACTGACTGAATTTTCTTCGATCCCATCCATTGCATTTCACAAACTTTTTTTGACGATGGGGATGGGGGTGGGGGTGGGGGGGGATATGGATATCTAGCAATAACCTACAGGCTTCCTAGAAGACACCTAATTCTAGTTTTTATCGTCATATACTCGTTAGCACTGGATCGCTAACAACATACTCGTTAGCAGTCATGGACAATTTTTTAAAATTCTTGTCCTATTGACATATTTGGTCTTGCTTTACTTTGCCGAGTGTCATTGCTGTTCAATATATTTTTTTAATAACATTCGCATTTGAAGGTATTTCTTGTATTAGATTGAGCAAAATGACGTGAAATGGGTAAGTAATTTAAGTACTTACGTCTGCAGTATATTTATTTACATTTATTTTTCAGAAGATGATGATGAAGACGAAGACGATAATGACAACTGCAAAACATTTAAACTTGAAAGTAGAAACAAACAGAAAGACCAGAAATCTCTTTCAAAAGCCAAGAAAATCAGGTCAATGAGGCTAACGAAAGATCTGTCAAAGGGCAAGTGCAAAAAGAATAAATCCTTTGGCTATAAAGGAAGAAAAGCTTGGGTGAAGAACAACTGCCGTGCAGTTTTCAAAGTTTGCTACAAGCCAAAAGGCGGCAAAGGCGACGAAGGTTTGTTTTCAATTGAGTTCTTGAAAACCATTTAGAAGCTAACTTATCAAAATATTTACTTTCGGTCTGTGTACCTCGCCTGCTTTCCCGTGAATTTTTTCCCCGTATTTCAATGGATGGCTTTCTACATTGCTTATTCCGGCTGCAATCCAAATCGAAACCTTTTGAGTGCCTATCCAAAGTTTCAAGAAATACTCCAAACGGCTGATTGTGCTCTGTTTTGATCCCTACGTTTCACATACTTTTTGCAATACAAATGAAAACTTTGAAGAAGCATACTGTCTCTCTGGTGGACACACTCCATGTGTTCTTTCTTAACGTCGTACAGTCTGTATCAGTTTGGCCTTGCCTTAGCAATTCCTATTCTCTTGACATTAATGGCCTCTTTGGTTGTTGTTGTTTTTTCTTCGCACAGTCAATACCTTCATTCTGTTACTATAAATTTGTATCTGTAATTGTTGTCATTGGCGCTCTTTTTTTAAAACTTTCTTTATGAAGGGTAATTCTCTTCGTCGAACATTAGATTGAACAAAATGCCATAAAATGGCTTTGTAAATGGGGTCAATACGTCTGCAATATATCATTTTGACCTTTTCTTTCAGACATTGATGAGGAAAAAGGTGATGAAGACAACTGTAAAACTTGAAAACTTGAAAACAAAAAATAAAAAGACAAGAAATCACTACTTCCCGTTTATGCATATTGTCTGCACTCTAATATTAGACTTTTGCGTCACTCTTTCTATGCAAGACTTTCTACTTTTCTTCGTAATTACTGCGTATTGATCCGAATTATTTGACTGCCTATCAAAAGTTTTCAGAAATACTTCAACTGTTTGAATCTTATTCGATCCCACCCATTGCATTTCACAAACTTTTTTTGACGATGGGGATGGGGGTGGGGGAGTGGGGGGAAATATGGATAACTAGCAATAACCTACAGGCTTCCTAGAAGACACCTAATTCTAGTTTTTATCGTCATATACTGGTTAGCAGTCATGGACAATTTTTTAAAATTCTTGTCCTATTGACATATTTGGTCTTGCTTTACTTTGCCGAGTGTCATTGCTGTTCAATATATTTTTAAGTAACATTCGCATTTGAAGGTATTTCTTGTATTAGATTGAGCAAAATGACGTGAAATGGGTAAGTAATTTAAATACTGACGTCTGCAGTATATTTATGTACATTTATTTTTCAGAAGATGATGATGAAGACGAAGACGATAATGACAACTGCAAAACATTTAAACTTGAAAGCAGAAACAAACAGAAAGACCAGAAATCCCTTTCAAAGGCCAAAAAAATCAGGTCAATGAGGCTAACGAAAGATCTGTCAAAGGGCAAGTGCAAAAAGAATAAATCCTTTGGCTATAGAGGGAGGCAAGCTTGGGTGAAGAACAACTGCCGTGCAGTATTCAAAGTTTGCTACAAGCCAAAAGGCGGCAAAGGCGACGAAGGTTTGTTTTCAATTGAGTCCTTGAAAACCATTTAGAAGCTTACATATCAAAACATTTACTTTCGGTCAGTGTATCTTGTCTGTTTTGCGGTGAATACTTTTCTCGTATTTTAATGGTGCTAATTCCGGCTACAATCCAAATCGAAACATTTTGAGTGCCTATCCAAAGTTTCAAGAAATACTCCAAACGGCTGATTCTGCTCTGTTTTGCTCCCTGCGTTTCACATATTATTTGCGATACAAATGAAAACCTTGAAGGACCATACTGTCTTGGTGGAGGACACACTCCATGTGATCTTTCTTAACGTCATACAATCTGTATCAGTTTGGCCTTGCCTTTTTAATTCCTATTCTCTTGACATTAACGGCGTGTTTGGTTGTCTTTTCCTTGCTGAGTCTGTACCTGCATGCTGTGACAATTAATTCTAAATCTGTAATAGTTGTCATTGCCGTTAGATATTTTGGAAACATTCTTTATGAAGGGTAATTCTCTTCGAACATTAGATTGAGCAAAATGCCCTGAAATAGATATGTAGATTGGGTAGTTACGTGTGCAGAATATTATTTTGACATTTTCTCTCAGAGATTAATGATGAAGAAGGCGATAAAGGCAACTGCAGAAGTTTAAAACTTGAAAGCAAAAACAAAGAGAAAGACCAGAAAGGCGAAGAAGGTTTGTTTTCACCTGAGTACTGGAAAACAATCTGGCTGCTGCTTTATCAAATTCATTGCTTTTGGACTGTGTATCTGGTCTGCCTTCTGGTAAATTCTGCATCAGTATTTAAATGCATTGCTTTTCTCCATGTTACGGCTGCAATCCAAATCTTAGTCATATGAGAGCCTGTCTAAATTTGTAATAAATACTCCCGCCGACTGTTTCTGCTCCGTTTCGCTCCCAACCTTTCACGTGCTTTTCGCTATACAAATCAAATCCTTGAAGAAACATTCTGTCTTTCTGAAGGACACACCCCATGTGTTTTTTCCTAACGTCATACAATCGGAATTAGTCTTGGCCTTACCTTTGGAATTTCTCTCATTTCTTACTGAGTCAGTAACTGAATACAGTGATAATAATTTTTCCGTCAGTAATTGATGTTATTGCCGTAGGATAATTTGGAAACATTTTTTCTTGTAGGTAATTGTTTACAGAAAATTAGCTTGATCAAAATAGGGAGAAAATGGTATATAAAATAGATGCTGACGTCTGCAGTATATTATTTTTACCTCTTCACTCAGACGATGATGAGGAAGAGGGCGATGATGGCGAGAAAGGCAACTGCAGAACTTTAAAACTTGAAAGCAAAAACAAAGAAAAAGACGAGAAATCTCTTTCCAAGGCCAAGAAAATCAAGTCAATGAAGATAACGAAAGAACTATCAGGGGGCAAGTGCAAGAAGAATAAATCCTTTGGCTATAAAGGAAAGAAGGCCTGGGTGAAGAACGACTGCCGTGCAGTATTCAAAGTTTGCTACAAGCCAAAAGGCGATGAAGGTTTGTTTTCACTTGAGAACTGGAAAACAATCTTGCTTTCAACTTATCAAAGTTATTACTTTCTGGTTTGTTTATGTCGTCTACCTTCTCTTGACATTTTTGTGAGGTTTTCAATAGGTGTCCTCCTACCTCGTTTGTTGCGCTTGCATTCCAAATCTGATTCATTTATGTGCCACTCCGGAGTTTCAAGAACTTCTCCCACTGACTGATTCTGCTACTTTTTTCCTCCCTTCATTCCACATACTTTAAGGGATAAAAATGGAAAAGTTCGAAAAACATTCTGCCTTTCTGAAGGCACCCACTATCTGATTTTTCCTTACGTCATTCAATCGGTATCAATCTAGACATAACATTTGGAACTTCAGTCCTATTTACTTTCGTGGTCATTTTTGTTGTTGTTGTTTTTTCTGGTCAAGTCAGAAATTGTTTACTCAAACAGTAGTTTTACGGTCGGTAACTGGTTTCCTACCCTTCCAATTTTTTGGAAACATTTCTATTTTTACATGTATTCGTTTGAGAAAAATTCCGTGAATTGGGTTTGTAAGTTAGGTGCTGATGTCTGCAGTGTATTCTTTTAATGTTTTTTTTTTCAGAAGATGATGAGGAAGAAGAAGAAAGCGGTAAAGGCAACTGCAGAAAGTTAAAACTAGAAAGCAAACAGAAAAAGAAAGACGAGAAATCTCTTTCCAAGGCCAAGAAAATCAAGTCAATGAAGATAACGAAAGAGCTGTCAAATCGCAAGTGCAAAAAGAATAAATCCTTTGGCTATAAAGGAAGGAAGGCCTGGGTGAAGAACAACTGCCGTGCAGTTTTCAAAGTTTGCTACAAGCCAAAAGGCGGCAGAGGCGACGAAGGTTTGTGTTTCCTTGAGCTCTTGAAAACAATTTTACAGCATACTTATCAAAACCACTACTTCCGGTCTGTGTATTTCGTGCGTTGTTTTCGTGACATTTCTATCTGCAATTCAATGGGTTGCTTTCTACCTTGTTTGTTGCGGCTGCAATCCAAATCGAAACCAGAGTTTCATGAATTACTCCAACTGACTGATTCCGTTCCGTTTTGCTCTCCACGTTTCACATTATTTTAAGGATAAATTTGGAAACTACACAAAAAAACCAAAATACAAAAACATGATGTCTTTCTTGTGGATACCCTTCAATATGTTCTTTCCTAGAACCATACTATCGTTGCAAATCTTTGCCTAACTTTTGGAATTTCTTTTCTTTTGCCATTTATTGGCTGGGTTGGTGTTTTTCTAACATAACAGTTAATAATTGCTTGATGCAGCAATACTTTTCCTGTCTGTAACTAGTGTCATGGAACCTCAGGTTTTTGGAAACATTCTATTAGCGGGTACTTCTACGCATGCATTAGCAAATTGCCGTAGAATGGGTATGTAAGTTAGGCGCTGACGTCTGCAGTATATTATTTTCACCTTTTCTCTTAGACGATGATGAGGAAGAAGGCGATGAAGGCGATAAAGGCAACTGCAGAACTTTAAAACTTGAAAGCAAAAACAAAGAGAAAGACCAGAAATCTCTCTCCAAGGCCAAGAAAATCAAGTCAATGAAGATAACTAAAGAACTGTCTGAGGGCAAGTGCAAGAAGAATAAATCCTTTGGCTATAAAGGAAAGAAGGCCTGGGTGAAGAACGACTGCCGTGCAGTATTCAAAGTTTGCTACAAGCCAAAAGGCGAAGAAGGTTTGTTTTCACCTGAGTACTGGAAAACAATCTGGCTGCTTCTTTATCAAATTCATTGCTTTTGGTCTGTGTATCTGGTCTGCCTTCTGGTAAATTCTGCATCAGTATTTAAATGCATTGCTTTTCTCCGACATGTTACGGCTGCAATCCAAATCTTAGTCATATGAGAGCCTGTCTAAATTTGTAATAAATACTCCCGCCGACTGTTTCTGCTCCGTTTCGCTCCCAACCTTTCACGTGCTTTTCGCTATACAAATCAAATCCTTGAAGAAACATTCTGTCTTTCTGAAGGACACACCCCATGTGTTTTTTCCTAACGTCATAAAATCGGAATTAGTCTTGGCCTTACCTTTGGAATTTCTCTCATTTCTTACTGAGTCAGTAACTGAATACAGTGATAATAATTTTTCCGTCAGTAATTGATGTTATTGCCGTAGGATAATGTGGAAACATTTTTTCTTGTAGGTAATTGTTTACAGAAAATTAGCTTGATCAAAATAGGGAGAAAATGGTATATAAAATAGATGCTGACGTCTGCAGTATATTATTTTTACCTCTTCACTCAGACGATGATGAGGAAGAGGGCGATGATGGCGAGAAAGGCAACTGCAGAACTTTAAAACTTGAAAGCAAAAACAAAGAAAAAGACGAGAAATCTCTTTCCAAGGCCAAGAAAATCAAGTCAATGAAGATAACGAAAGAGCTGTCAAATCGCAAGTGCAAAAAGAATAAATCCTTTGGCTATAAAGGAAGGAAGGCCTGGGTGAAGAACAACTGCCGTGCAGTTTTCAAAGTTTGCTACAAGCCAAAAGGCGGCAAAGGCGACGAAGGTTTGTGTTTCCTTGAGCTCTTGAAAACATTTTTACAGCATACTTATCAAAACCACTACTTCCGGTCTGTGTATTTCGTGCGTTGTTTTCGTGACATTTCTATCAGCCATTCAATGGGTTGCTTTCTACCTTGTGTGTTGCGGCTGCAATCCAAATCGAAACCAAAGTTTCATGAATTACTCCAACTGACTGATTCCGTTCCGTTTTGCTCTCCACGTTTCACATTATTTTAAGGATAAATTTGGAAACTACACAAAAAAACCAAAATACAAAAACATGATGTCTTTCTTGTGGATACCCTTCAATATGTTCTTTCCTAGAGCCATACTATCGTTGCAAATCTTTGCCTAACTTTTGGAATTTCTTTTCTTTTGCCATTTATTGGCTGGGTTGGTGTTTTTCTAACATAACAGTTAATAATTGCTTGATGCAGCAATACTTTTCCTGTCTGTAACTAGTGTCATGGAACCTCAGGTTTTTGGAAACATTCTATTAGCGGGTACTTCTACGCATGCATTAGCAAATTGCCGTAGAATGGGTATGTAAGTTAGGCGCTGACGTCTGCAGTATATTATTTTCACCTTTTCTCTTAGACGATGATGAGGAAGAAGGCGATGAAGGCGATAAAGGCAACTGCAGAACTTTAAAACTTGAAAGCAAAAACAAAGAGAAAGACCAGAAATCTCTCTCCAAGGCCAAGAAAATCAAGTCAATGAAGATAACTAAAGAACTGTCTGAGGGCAAGTGCAAGAAGAATAAATCCTTTGGCTATAAAGGAAAGAAGGCCTGGGTGAAGAACGACTGCCGTGCAGTATTCAAAGTTTGCTACAAGCCAAAAGGCGAAGAAGGTTTGTTTTCACCTGAGTACTGGAAAACAATCTGGCTGCTTCTTTATCAAATTCATTGCTTTTGGTCTGTGTATCTGGTCTGCCTTCTGGTAAATTCTGCATCAGTATTTAAATGCATTGCTTTTCTCCGACATGTTACGGCTGCAATCCAAATCTTAGTCATATGAGAGCCTGTCTAAATTTGTAATAAATACTCCCGCCGACTGTTTCTGCTCCGTTTCGCTCCCAACCTTTCACGTGCTTTTCGCTATACAAATCAAATCCTGGAAGAAACATTCTGTCTTTCTGAAGGACACACCCCATGTGTTTTTTCCTAACGTCATAAAATCGGAATTAGTCTTGGCCTTACCTTTGGAATTTCTCTCATTTCTTACTGAGTCAGTAACTGAATACAGTGATAATAATTTTTCCGTCAGTAATTGATGTTATTGCCGTAGGATAATGTGGAAACATTTTTTCTTGTAGGTAATTGTTTACAGAAAATTAGCTTGATCAAAATAGGGAGAAAATGGTATATAAAATAGATGCTGACGTCTGCAGTATATTATTTTTACCTCTTCACTCAGACGATGATGAGGAAGAGGGCGATGATGGCGAGAAAGGCAACTGCAGAACTTTAAAACTTGAAAGCAAAAACAAAGAAAAAGACGAGAAATCTCTTTCCAAGGCCAAGAAAATCAAGTCAATGAAGATAACGAAAGAACTATCAGGGGGCAAGTGCAAGAAGAATAAATCCTTTGGCTATAAAGGAAAGAAGGCCTGGGTGAAGAACAACTGCCGTGCAGTTTTCAAAGTTTGCTACAAGCCAAAAGGCAGCAAAGGCGACGAAGGTTTGGATTTCCTTGAGCTCTTGAAAACATTTTTACAGCATACTTATCAAAACCACTACTTCCGGTCTGTGTATTTCGTGCGTCTTTTCGTGACATTTCTATCTGCAATTCAATGGGTTGCTTTCTACCTTGTTTGTTGCGGCTGCAATCCAAATCGAAACCAGAGTTTCATGAATTACTCCAACTGACTGATTCCGTTCCGTTTTGCTCTCCACGTTTCACATTATTTTAAGGATAAATTTGGAAACTACGCAAAAAAACCAAAATACAAAAACATGATGTCTTTCTTGTGGATACCCTTCAATATGTTCTTTCCTAGAACCATACTATCGTTGCAAATCTTTGCCTAACTTTTGGAATTTCTTTTCTTTTGCCATTTATTGGCTGGGTTGGTGTTTTTCTAACATAACAGTTAATAATTGCTTGATGCAGCAATACTTTTCCTGTCTGTAACTAGTGTCATGGAACCTCAGGTTTTTGGAAACATTCTATTAGCGGGTACTTCTACGCATGCATTAGCAAATTGCCGTAGAATAGGTATGTAAGTTAGGCGCTGACGTCTGCAGTATATTATTTTCACCTTTTCTCTTAGACGATGATGAGGAAGAAGGCGATGAAGGCGATAAAGGCAACTGCAGAACTTTAAAACTTGAAAGCAAAAACAAAGAGAAAGACCAGAAGTCTCTCTCCAAGGCCAAGAAAATCAAGTCAATGAAGATAACTAAAGAACTGTCTGAGGGCAAGTGCAAGAAGAATAAATCCTTTGGCTATAAAGGAAAGAAGGCCTGGGTGAAGAACGACTGCCGTGCAGTATTCAAAGTTTGCTACAAGCCAAAAGGCGAAGAAGGTTTGTTTTCACCTGAGTACTGGAAAACAATCTGGCTGCTTCTTTATCAAATTCATTGCTTTTGGTCTGTATATCTGGTCTGCCTTCTGGTAAATTCTGCATCAGTATTTAAATGCATTGCTTTTCTCCGACATGTTACGGCTGCAATCCAAATCTTAGTCATATGAGAGCCTGTCTAAATTTGTAATAAATACTCCCGCCGACTGTTTCTGCTCCGTTTCGCTCCCAACCTTTCACGTGCTTTTCGCTATACAAATCAAATCCTGGAAGAAACATTCTGTCTTTCTGAAGGACACACCCCTTGTGTTCTTTCCTAACGTCATACAATCGGAATTAGTCTTGGCCTTACCTTTGGAATTTCTCTCATTTCTTACTGAGTCAGTAACTGAATACAGTGATAATAATTTTTCCGTCAGTAATTGATGTTATTGCCGTAGGATAATTTGGAAACATTTTTTCTTGTAGGTAATTGTTTACAGAAAATTAGCTTGATCAAAATAGGGAGAAAATGGTATATAAAATAGATGCTGACGTCTGCAGTATATTATTTTTACCTCTTCACTCAGACGATGATGAGGAAGAGGGCGATGATGGCGAGAAAGGCAACTGCAGAACTTTAAAACTTGAAAGCAAAAACAAAGAAAAAGACGAGAAATCTCTTTCCAAGGCCAAGAAAATCAAGTCAATGAAGATAACGAAAGAACTATCAGGGGGCAAGTGCAAGAAGAATAAATCCTTTGGCTATAAAGGAAAGAAGGCCTGGGTGAAGAACAACTGCCGTGCAGTTTTCAAAGTTTGCTACAAGCCAAAAGGCGGCAAAGGCGACGAAGGTTTGTGTTTCCTTGAGCTCTTGAAAACATTTTTACAGCATACTTATCAAAACCACTACTTCCGGTCTGTGTATTTCGTGCGTCTTTTCGTGACATTTCTATCTGCAATTCAATGGGTTGCTTTCTACCTTGTTTGTTGCGGCTGCAATCCAAATCGAAACCAGAGTTTCATGAATTACTCCAACTGACTGATTCCGTTCCGTTTTGCTCTCCACGTTTCACATTATTTTAAGGATAAATTTGGAAACTACGCAAAAAAACCAAAATACAAAAACATGATGTCTTTCTTGTGGATACCCTTCAATATGTTCTTTCCTAGAGCCATACTATCGTTGCAAATCTTTGCCTAACTTTTGGAATTTCTTTTCTTTTGCCATTTATTGGCTGGGTTGGTGTTTTTCTAACATAACAGTTAATAATTGCTTGATGCAGCAATACTTTTCCCGTCTGTAACTAGTGTCATGGAACCTCAGGTTTTTAGAAACATTCTATTAGCGGGTACTTCTACACATGCATTAGCAAATTGCCGTAGAATGGGTATGTAAGTTAGGCGCTGACGTCTGCAGTATATTATTTTCACCTTTTCTCTTAGACGATGAGGAAGAAGGCGATGAAGGCGATAAAGGCAACTGCAGAACTTTAAAACTTGAAAGCAAAAACAAAGAGAAAGACCAGAAATCTCTCTCCAAGGCCAAGAAAATCAAGTCAATGAAGATAACTAAAGAACTGTCTGAGGGCAAGTGCAAGAAGAATAAATCCTTTGGCTATAAAGGAAAGAAGGCCTGGGTGAAGAACGACTGCCGTGCAGTATTCAAAGTTTGCTACAAGCCAAAAGGCGAAGAAGGTTTGTTTTCACCTGAGTACTGGAAAACAATCTGGCTGCTTCTTTATCAAATTCATTGCTTTTGGTCTGTGTATCTGGTCTGCCTTCTGGTAAATTCTGCATCAGTATTTAAATGCATTGCTTTTCTCCGACATGTTACGGCTGCAATCCAAATCTTAGTCATATGAGAGCCTGTCTAAATTTGTAATAAATACTCCCGCCGACTGTTTCTGCTCCGTTTCGCTCCCAACCTTTCACGTGCTTTTCGCTATACAAATCAAATCCTTGAAGAAACATTCTGTCTTTCTGAAGGACACACCCCATGTGTTTTTTCCTAACGTCATAAAATCGGAATTAGTCTTGGCCTTACCTTTGGAATTTCTCTCATTTCTTACTGAGTCAGTAACTGAATACAGTGATAATAATTTTTCCGTCAGTAATTGATGTTATTGCCGTAGGATAATGTGGAAACATTTTTTCTTGTAGGTAATTGTTTACAGAAAATTAGCTTGATCAAAATAGGGAGAAAATGGTATATAAAATAGATGCTGACGTCTGCAGTATATTATTTTTACCTCTTCACTCAGACGATGATGAGGAAGAGGGCGATGATGGCGAGAAAGGCAACTGCAGAACTTTAAAACTTGAAAGCAAAAACAAAGAAAAAGACGAGAAATCTCTTTCCAAGGCCAAGAAAATCAAGTCAATGAAGATAACGAAAGAACTATCAGGGGGCAAGTGCAAGAAGAATAAATCCTTTGGCTATAAAGGAAAGAAGGCCTGGGTGAAGAACAACTGCCGTGCAGTTTTCAAAGTTTGCTACAAGCCAAAAGGCGGCAAAGGCGACGAAGGTTTGTGTTTCCTTGAGCTCTTGAAAACATTTTTACAGCATACTTATCAAAACCACTACTTCCGGTCTGTGTATTTCGTGCGTCTTTTCGTGACATTTCTATCTGCAATTCAATGGGTTGCTTTCTACCTTGTTTGTTGCGGCTGCAATCCAAATCGAAACCAGAGTTTCATGAATTACTCCAACTGACTGATTCCGTTCCGTTTTGCTCTCCACGTTTCACATTATTTTAAGGATAAATTTGGAAACTACGCAAAAAAACCAAAATACAAAAACATGATGTCTTTCTTGTGGATACCCTTCAATATGTTCTTTCCTAGAACCATACTATCGTTGCAAATCTTTGCCTAACTTTTGGAATTTCTTTTCTTTTGCCATTTATTGGCTGGGTTGGTGTTTTTCTAACATAACAGTTAATAATTGCTTGATGCAGCAATACTTTTCCTGTCTGTAACTAGTGTCATGGAACCTCAGGTTTTTAGAAACATTCTATTAGCGGGTACTTCTACGCATGCATTAGCAAATTGCCGTAGAATAGGTATGTAAGTTAGGCGCTGACGTCTGCAGTATATTATTTTCACCTTTTCTCTTAGACGATGATGAGGAAGAAGGCGATGAAGGCGATAAAGGCAACTGCAGAACTTTAAAACTTGAAAGCAAAAACAAAGAGAAAGACCAGAAATCTCTCTCCAAGGCCAAGAAAATCAAGTCAATGAAGATAACTAAAGAACTGTCTGAGGGCAAGTGCAAGAAGAATAAATCCTTTGGCTATAAAGGAAAGAAGGCCTGGGTGAAGAACGACTGCCGTGCAGTATTCAAAGTTTGCTACAAGCCAAAAGGCGAAGAAGGTTTGTTTTCACCTGAGTACTGGAAAACAATCTGGCTGCTTCTTTATCAAATTCATTGCTTTTGGTCTGTGTATCTGGTCTGCCTTCTGGTAAATTCTGCATCAGTATTTAAATGCATTGCTTTTCTCCGACATGTTACGGCTGCAATCCAAATCTTAGTCATATGAGAGCCTGTCTAAATTTGTAATAAATACTCCCGCCGACTGTTTCTGCTCCGTTTCGCTCCCAACCTTTCACGTGCTTTTCGCTATACAAATCAAATCCTTGAAGAAACATTCTGTCTTTCTGAAGGACACACCCCATGTGTTTTTTCCTAACGTAATAAAATCGGAATTAGTCTTGGCCTTACCTTTGGAATTTCTCTCATTTCTTACTGAGTCAGTAACTGAATACAGTGATAATAATTTTTCCGTCAGTAATTGATGTTATTGCCGTAGGATAATGTGGAAACATTTTTTCTTGTAGGTAATTGTTTACAGAAAATTAGCTTGATCAAAATAGGGAGAAAATGGTATATAAAATAGATGCTGACGTCTGCAGTATATTATTTTTACCTCTTCACTCAGACGATGATGAGGAAGAGGGCGATGATGGCGAGAAAGGCAACTGCAGAACTTTAAAACTTGAAAGCAAAAACAAAGAAAAAGACGAGAAATCTCTTTCCAAGGCCAAGAAAATCAAGTCAATGAAGATAACGAAAGAACTATCAGGGGGCAAGTGCAAGAAGAATAAATCATTTGGCTATAAAGGAAAGAAGGCCTGGGTGAAGAACAACTGCCGTGCAGTTTTCAAAGTTTGCTACAAGCCAAAAGGCGGCAAAGGCGACGAAGGTTTGTGTTTCCTTGAGCTCTTGAAAACATTTTTACAGCATACTTATCAAAACCACTACTTCCGGTCTGTGTATTTCGTGCGTCTTTTCGTGACATTTCTATCTGCAATTCAATGGGTTGCTTTCTACCTTGTTTGTTGCGGCTGCAATCCAAATCGAAACCAGAGTTTCATGAATTACTCCAACTGACTGATTCCGTTCCGTTTTGCTCTCCACGTTTCACATTATTTTAAGGATAAATTTGGAAACTACGCAAAAAAACCAAAATACAAAAACATGATGTCTTTCTTGTGGATACCCTTCAATATGTTCTTTCCTAGAACCATACTATCGTTGCAAATCTTTGCCTAACTTTTGGAATTTCTTTTCTTTTGCCATTTATTGGCTGGGTTGGTGTTTTTCTAACATAACAGTTAATAATTGCTTGATGCAGCAATACTTTTCCTGTCTGTAACTAGTGTCATGGAACCTCAGGTTTTTGGAAACATTCTATTAGCGGGTACTTCTACGCATGCATTAGCAAATTGCCGTAGAATGGGTATGTAAGTTAGGCGCTGACGTCTGCAGTATATTATTTTCACCTTTTCTCTTAGACGATGATGAGGAAGAAGGCGATGAAGGCGATAAAGGCAACTGCAGAACTTTAAAACTTGAAAGCAAAAACAAAGAGAAAGACCAGAAATCTCTCTCCAAGGCCAAGAAAATCAAGTCAATGAAGATAACTAAAGAACTGTCTGAGGGCAAGTGCAAGAAGAATAAATCCTTTGGCTATAAAGGAAAGAAGGCCTGGGTGAAGAACGACTGCCGTGCAGTATTCAAAGTTTGCTACAAGCCAAAAGGCGAAGAAGGTTTGTTTTCACCTGAGTACTGGAAAACAATCTGGCTGCTTCTTTATCAAATTCATTGCTTTTGGTCTGTGTATCTGGTCTGCCTTCTGGTAAATTCTGCATCAGTATTTAAATGCATTGCTTTTCTCCGACATGTTACGGCTGCAATCCAAATCTTAGTCATATGAGAGCCTGTCTAAATTTGTAATAAATACTCCCGCCGACTGTTTCTGCTCCGTTTCGCTCCCAACCTTTCACGTGCTTTTCGCTATACAAATCAAATCCTTGAAGAAACATTCTGTCTTTCTGAAGGACACACCCCATGTGTTTTTTCCTAACGTCATAAAATCGGAATTAGTCTTGGCCTTACCTTTGGAATTTCTCTCATTTCTTACTGAGTCAGTAACTGAATACAGTGATAATAATTTTTCCGTCAGTAATTGATGTTATTGCCGTAGGATAATGTGGAAACATTTTTTCTTGTAGGTAATTGTTTACAGAAAATTAGCTTGATCAAAATAGGGAGAAAATGGTATATAAAATAGATGCTGACGTCTGCAGTATATTATTTTTACCTCTTCACTCAGACGATGATGAGGAAGAGGGCGATGATGGCGAGAAAGGCAACTGCAGAACTTTAAAACTTGAAAGCAAAAACAAAGAAAAAGACGAGAAATCTCTTTCCAAGGCCAAGAAAATCAAGTCAATGAAGATAACGAAAGAACTATCAGGGGGCAAGTGCAAGAAGAATAAATCCTTTGGCTATAAAGGAAAGAAGGCCTGGGTGAAGAACGACTGCCGTGCAGTATTCAAAGTTTGCTACAAGCCAAAAGGCGAAGAAGGTTTGTTTTCACCTGAGTACTGGAAAACAATCTGGCTGCTTCTTTATCAAATTCATTGCTTTTGGTCTGTGTATCTGGTCTGCCTTCTGGTAAATTCTGCATCAGTATTTAAATGCATTGCTTTTCTCCGACATGTTACGGCTGCAATCCAAATCTTAGTCATATGAGAGCCTGTCTAAATTTGTAATAAATACTCCCGCCGACTGTTTCTGCTCCGTTTCGCTCCCAACCTTTCACGTGCTTTTCGCTATACAAATCAAATCCTTGAAGAAACATTCTGTCTTTCTGAAGGACACACCCCATGTGTTTTTTCCTAACGTCATAAAATCGGAATTAGTCTTGGCCTTACCTTTGGAATTTCTCTCATTTCTTACTGAGTCAGTAACTGAATACAGTGATAATAATTTTTCCGTCAGTAATTGATGTTATTGCCGTAGGATAATGTGGAAACATTTTTTCTTGTAGGTAATTGTTTACAGAAAATTAGCTTGATCAAAATAGGGAGAAAATGGTATATAAAATAGATGCTGACGTCTGCAGTATATTATTTTTACCTCTTCACTCAGACGATGATGAGGAAGAGGGCGATGATGGCGAGAAAGGCAACTGCAGAACTTTAAAACTTGAAAGCAAAAACAAAGAAAAAGACGAGAAATCTCTTTCCAAGGCCAAGAAAATCAAGTCAATGAAGATAACGAAAGAGCTGTCAAATCGCAAGTGCAAAAAGAATAAATCCTTTGGCTATAAAGGAAGGAAGGCCTGGGTGAAGAACAACTGCCGTGCAGTTTTCAAAGTTTGCTACAAGCCAAAAGGCGGCAAAGGCGACGAAGGTTTGTGTTTCCTTGAGCTCTTGAAAACATTTTTACAGCATACTTATCAAAACCACTACTTCCGGTCTGTGTATTTCGTGCGTCTTTTCGTGACATTTCTATCTGCAATTCAATGGGTTGCTTTCTACCTTGTTTGTTGCGGCTGCAATCCAAATCGAAACCAGAGTTTCATGAATTACTCCAACTGACTGATTCCGTTCCGTTTTGCTCTCCACGTTTCACATTATTTTAAGGATAAATTTGGAAACTACGCAAAAAAACCAAAATACAAAAACATGATGTCTTTCTTGTGGATACCCTTCAATATGTTCTTTCCTAGAACCATACTATCGTTGCAAATCTTTGCCTAACTTTTGGAATTTCTTTTCTTTTGCCATTTATTGGCTGGGTTGGTGTTTTTCTAACATAACAGTTAATAATTGCTTGATGCAGCAATACTTTTCCTGTCTGTAACTAGTGTCATGGAACCTCAGGTTTTTGGAAACATTCTATTAGCGGGTACTTCTACGCATGCATTAGCAAATTGCCGTAGAATGGGTATGTAAGTTAGGCGCTGACGTCTGCAGTATATTATTTTCACCTTTTCTCTTAGACGATGATGAGGAAGAAGGCGATGAAGGCGATAAAGGCAACTGCAGAACTTTAAAACTTGAAAGCAAAAACAAAGAGAAAGACCAGAAATCTCTCTCCAAGGCCAAGAAAATCAAGTCAATGAAGATAACTAAAGAACTGTCTGAGGGCAAGTGCAAGAAGAATAAATCCTTTGGCTATAAAGGAAAGAAGGCCTGGGTGAAGAACAACTGCCGTGCAGTTTTCAAAGTTTGCTACAAGCCAAAAGGCGGCAAAGGCGACGAAGGTTTGTGTTTCCTTGAGCTCTTGAAAACATTTTTACAGCATACTTATCAAAACCACTACTTCCGGTCTGTGTATTTCGTGCGTCTTTTCGTGACATTTCTATCTGCAATTCAATGGGTTGCTTTCTACCTTGTTTGTTGCGGCTGCAATCCAAATCGAAACCAGAGTTTCATGAATTACTCCAACTGACTGATTCCGTTCCGTTTTGCTCTCCACGTTTCACATTATTTTAAGGATAAATTTGGAAACTACGCAAAAAAACCAAAATACAAAAACATGATGTCTTTCTTGTGGATACCCTTCAATATGTTCTTTCCTAGAACCATACTATCGTTGCAAATCTTTGCCTAACTTTTGGAATTTCTTTTCTTTTGCCATTTATTGGCTGGGTTGGTGTTTTTCTAACATAACAGTTAATAATTGCTTGATGCAGCAATACTTTTCCTGTCTGTAACTAGTGTCATGGAACCTCAGGTTTTTGGAAACATTCTATTAGCGGGTACTTCTACGCATGCATTAGCAAATTGCCGTAGAATGGGTATGTAAGTTAGGCGCTGACGTCTGCAGTATATTATTTTCACCTTTTCTCTTAGACGATGATGAGGAAGAAGGCGATGAAGGCGATAAAGGCAACTGCAGAACTTTAAAACTTGAAAGCAAAAACAAAGAGAAAGACCAGAAATCTCTCTCCAAGGCCAAGAAAATCAAGTCAATGAAGATAACTAAAGAACTGTCTGAGGGCAAGTGCAAGAAGAATAAATCCTTTGGCTATAAAGGAAAGAAGGCCTGGGTGAAGAACGACTGCCGTGCAGTATTCAAAGTTTGCTACAAGCCAAAAGGCGAAGAAGGTTTGTTTTCACCTGAGTACTGGAAAACAATCTGGCTGCTTCTTTATCAAATTCATTGCTTTTGGTCTGTGTATCTGGTCTGCCTTCTGGTAAATTCTGCATCAGTATTTAAATGCATTGCTTTTCTCCGACATGTTACGGCTGCAATCCAAATCTTAGTCATATGAGAGCCTGTCTAAATTTGTAATAAATACTCCCGCCGACTGTTTCTGCTCCGTTTCGCTCCCAACCTTTCACGTGCTTTTCGCTATACAAATCAAATCCTTGAAGAAACATTCTGTCTTTCTGAAGGACACACCCCATGTGTTTTTTCCTAACGTCATAAAATCGGAATTAGTCTTGGCCTTACCTTTGGAATTTCTCTCATTTCTTACTGAGTCAGTAACTGAATACAGTGATAATAATTTTTCCGTCAGTAATTGATGTTATTGCCGTAGGATAATGTGGAAACATTTTTTCTTGTAGGTAATTGTTTACAGAAAATTAGCTTGATCAAAATAGGGAGAAAATGGTATATAAAATAGATGCTGACGTCTGCAGTATATTATTTTTACCTCTTCACTCAGACGATGATGAGGAAGAGGGCGATGATGGCGAGAAAGGCAACTGCAGAACTTTAAAACTTGAAAGCAAAAACAAAGAAAAAGACGAGAAATCTCTTTCCAAGGCCAAGAAAATCAAGTCAATGAAGATAACGAAAGAGCTGTCAAATCGCAAGTGCAAAAAGAATAAATCCTTTGGCTATAAAGGAAGGAAGGCCTGGGTGAAGAACAACTGCCGTGCAGTTTTCAAAGTTTGCTACAAGCCAAAAGGCGGCAAAGGCGACGAAGGTTTGTGTTTCCTTGAGCTCTTGAAAACATTTTTACAGCATACTTATCAAAACCACTACTTCCGGTCTGTGTATTTCGTGCGTCTTTTCGTGACATTTCTATCTGCAATTCAATGGGTTGCTTTCTACCTTGTTTGTTGCGGCTGCAATCCAAATCGAAACCAGAGTTTCATGAATTACTCCAACTGACTGATTCCGTTCCGTTTTGCTCTCCACGTTTCACATTATTTTAAGGATAAATTTGGAAACTACGCAAAAAAACCAAAATACAAAAACATGATGTCTTTCTTGTGGATACCCTTCAATATGTTCTTTCCTAGAACCATACTATCGTTGCAAATCTTTGCCTAACTTTTGGAATTTCTTTTCTTTTGCCATTTATTGGCTGGGTTGGTGTTTTTCTAACATAACAGTTAATAATTGCTTGATGCAGCAATACTTTTCCTGTCTGTAACTAGTGTCATGGAACCTCAGGTTTTTGGAAACATTCTATTAGCGGGTACTTCTACGCATGCATTAGCAAATTGCCGTAGAATGGGTATGTAAGTTAGGCGCTGACGTCTGCAGTATATTATTTTCACCTTTTCTCTTAGACGATGATGAGGAAGAAGGCGATGAAGGCGATAAAGGCAACTGCAGAACTTTAAAACTTGAAAGCAAAAACAAAGAGAAAGACCAGAAATCTCTCTCCAAGGCCAAGAAAATCAAGTCAATGAAGATAACTAAAGAACTGTCTGAGGGCAAGTGCAAGAAGAATAAATCCTTTGGCTATAAAGGAAAGAAGGCCTGGGTGAAGAACGACTGCCGTGCAGTATTCAAAGTTTGCTACAAGCCAAAAGGCGAAGAAGGTTTGTTTTCACCTGAGTACTGGAAAACAATCTGGCTGCTTCTTTATCAAATTCATTGCTTTTGGTCTGTGTATCTGGTCTGCCTTCTGGTAAATTCTGCATCAGTATTTAAATGCATTGCTTTTCTCCGACATGTTACGGCTGCAATCCAAATCTTAGTCATATGAGAGCCTGTCTAAATTTGTAATAAATACTCCCGCCGACTGTTTCTGCTCCGTTTCGCTCCCAACCTTTCACGTGCTTTTCGCTATACAAATCAAATCCTTGAAGAAACATTCTGTCTTTCTGAAGGACACACCCCATGTGTTTTTTCCTAACGTCATAAAATCGGAATTAGTCTTGGCCTTACCTTTGGAATTTCTCTCATTTCTTACTGAGTCAGTAACTGAATACAGTGATAATAATTTTTCCGTCAGTAATTGATGTTATTGCCGTAGGATAATTTGGAAACATTTTTTCTTGTAGGTAATTGTTTACAGAAAATTAGCTTGATCAAAATAGGGAGAAAATGGTATATAAAATAGATGCTGACGTCTGCAGTATATTATTTTTACCTCTTCACTCAGACGATGATGAGGAAGAGGGCGATGATGGCGAGAAAGGCAACTGCAGAACTTTAAAACTTGAAAGCAAAAACAAAGAAAAAGACGAGAAATCTCTTTCCAAGGCCAAGAAAATCAAGTCAATGAAGATAACGAAAGAACTATCAGGGGGCAAGTGCAAGAAGAATAAATCCTTTGGCTATAAAGGAAAGAAGGCCTGGGTGAAGAACGACTGCCGTGCAGTATTCAAAGTTTGCTACAAGCCAAAAGGCGATGAAGGTTTGTTTTCACTTGAGAACTGGAAAACAATCTTGCTTTCAACTTATCAAAGTTATTACTTTCTGGTTTGTTTATGTCGTCTACCTTCTCTTGACATTTTTGTGAGGTTTTCAATAGGTGTCCTCCTACCTCGTTTGTTGCGCTTGCATTCCAAATCTGATTCATTTATGTGCCACTCCGGAGTTTCAAGAACTTCTCCCACTGACTGATTCTGCTACTTTTTTCCTCCCTTCATTCCACATACTTTAAGGGATAAAAATGGAAAAGTTCGAAAAACATTCTGCCTTTCTGAAGGCACCCACTATCTGATTTTTCCTTACGTCATTCAATCGGTATCAATCTAGACATAACATTTGGAACTTCAGTCCTATTTACATTCGTGGTCATTTTTGTTGTTGTTGTTTTTTCTGGTCAAGTCAGAAATTGTTTACTCAAACAGTAGTTTTACGGTCTGTAACTGGTTTCCTACCCTTCCAATTTTTTGGAAACATTTCTATTTTTACATGTATTCGTTTGAAAAAAATTCCGTGAATTGGGTTTGTAAGTTAGGTGCTGATGTCTGCAGTGTATTCTTTTAATGGTTTTTTTTTCAGAAGATGATGAGGAAGAAGAAGAAAGCGGTAAAGGCAACTGCAGAAAGTTAAAACTAGAAAGCAAACAGAAAAAGAAAGACGAGAAATCTCTTTCCAAGGCCAAGAAAATCAAGTCAATGAAGATAACGAAAGAGCTGTCAAATCGCAAGTGCAAAAAGAATAAATCCTTTGGCTATAAAGGAAGGAAGGCCTGGGTGAAGAACAACTGCCGTGCAGTTTTCAAAGTTTGCTACAAGCCGAAAGGCGGCAAAGGCGACAAAGGTTTGTGTTTCCTTGAGCTCTTGAAAACAATTTTACAGCATACTTATCAAAACCACTACTTCCGGTCTGTGTATTTCGTGCGTCTTTTCGTGACATTTCTATCTGCAATTCAATGGGTTGCTTTCTACCTTGTTTGTTGCGGCTGCAATCCAAATCGAAACCAGAGTTTCATGAATTACTCCAACTGACTGATTCCGTTCCGTTTTGCTCTCCACGTTTCACATTATTTTAAGGATAAATTTGGAAACTACGCAAAAAAACCAAAATACAAAAACATGATGTCTTTCTTGTGGATACCCTTCAATATGTTCTTTCCTAGAACCATACTATCGTTGCAAATCTTTGCCTAACTTTTGGAATTTCTTTTCTTTTGCCATTTATTGGCTGGGTTGGTGTTTTTCTAACATAACAGTTAATAATTGCTTGATGCAGCAATACTTTTCCTGTCTGTAACTAGTGTCATGGAACCTCAGGTTTTTGGAAACATTCTATTAGCGGGTACTTCTACGCATGCATTAGCAAATTGCCGTAGAATGGGTATGTAAGTTAGGCGCTGACGTCTGCAGTATATTATTTTCACCTTTTCTCTTAGACGATGATGAGGAAGAAGGCGATGAAGGCGATAAAGGCAACTGCAGAACTTTAAAACTTGAAAGCAAAAACAAAGAGAAAGACCAGAAATCTCTCTCCAAGGCCAAGAAAATCAAGTCAATGAAGATAACTAAAGAACTGTCTGAGGGCAAGTGCAAGAAGAATAAATCCTTTGGCTATAAAGGAAAGAAGGCCTGGGTGAAGAACGACTGCCGTGCAGTATTCAAAGTTTGCTACAAGCCAAAAGGCGATGAAGGTTTGTTTTCACTTGAGAACTGGAAAACAATCTTGCTTTCAACTTATCAAAGTTATTACTTTCTGGTTTGTTTATGTCGTCTACCTTCTCTTGACATTTTTGTGAGGTTTTCAATAGGTGTCCTCCTACCTCGTTTGTTGCGCTTGCATTCCAAATCTGATTCATTTATGTGCCACTCCGGAGTTTCAAGAACTTCTCCCACTGACTGATTCTGCTACTTTTTTCCTCCCTTCATTCCACATACTTTAAGGGATAAAAATGGAAAAGTTCGAAAAACATTCTGCCTTTCTGAAGGCACCCACTATCTGATTTTTCCTTACGTCATTCAATCGGTATCAATCTAGACATAACATTTGGAACTTCAGTCCTATTTACATTCGTGGTCATTTTTGTTGTTGTTGTTTTTTCTGGTCAAGTCAGAAATTGTTTACTCAAACAGTAGTTTTACGGTCTGTAACTGGTTTCCTACCCTTCCAATTTTTTGGAAACATTTCTATTTTTACATGTATTCGTTTGAAAAAAATTCCGTGAATTGGGTTTGTAAGTTAGGTGCTGATGTCTGCAGTGTATTCTTTTAATGGTTTTTTTTTCAGAAGATGATGAGGAAGAAGAAGAAAGCGGTAAAGGCAACTGCAGAAAGTTAAAACTAGAAAGCAAACAGAAAAAGAAAGACGAGAAATCTCTTTCCAAGGCCAAGAAAATCAAGTCAATGAAGATAACGAAAGAGCTGTCAAATCGCAAGTGCAAAAAGAATAAATCCTTTGGCTATAAAGGAAGGAAGGCCTGGGTGAAGAACAACTGCCGTGCAGTTTTCAAAGTTTGCTACAAGCCGAAAGGCGGCAAAGGCGACAAAGGTTTGTGTTTCCTTGAGCTCTTGAAAACAATTTTACAGCATACTTATCAAAACCACTACTTCCGGTCTGTGTATTTCGTGCGTCTTTTCGTGACATTTCTATCTGCAATTCAATGGGTTGCTTTCTACCTTGTTTGTTGCGGCTGCAATCCAAATCGAAACCAGAGTTTCATGAATTACTCCAACTGACTGATTCCGTTCCGTTTTGCTCTCCACGTTTCACATTATTTTAAGGATAAATTTGGAAACTACGCAAAAAAACCAAAATACAAAAACATGATGTCTTTCTTGTGGATACCCTTCAATATGTTCTTTCCTAGAACCATACTATCGTTGCAAATCTTTGCCTAACTTTTGGAATTTCTTTTCTTTTGCCATTTATTGGCTGGGTTGGTGTTTTTCTAACATAACAGTTAATAATTGCTTGATGCAGCAATACTTTTCCTGTCTGTAACTAGTGTCATGGAACCTCAGGTTTTTGGAAACATTCTATTAGCGGGTACTTCTACGCATGCATTAGCAAATTGCCGTAGAATGGGTATGTAAGTTATGCGCTGACGTCTGCAGTATATTATTTTCACCTTTTCTCTTAGACGATGAGGAAGAAGGCGATGAAGGCGATAAAGGCAACTGCAGAACTTTAAAACTTGAAAGCAAAAACAAAGAGAAAGACCAGAAATCTCTCTCCAAGGCCAAGAAAATCAAGTCAATGAAGATAACTAAAGAACTGTCTGAGGGCAAGTGCAAGAAGAATAAATCCTTTGGCTATAAAGGAAAGAAGGCCTGGGTGAAGAACGACTGCCGTGCAGTATTCAAAGTTTGCTACAAGCCAAAAGGCGAAGAAGGTTTGTTTTCACCTGAGTACTGGAAAACAATCTGGCTGCTTCTTTATCAAATTCATTGCTTTTGGTCTGTGTATCTGGTCTGCCTTCTGGTAAATTCTGCATCAGTATTTAAATGCATTGCTTTTCTCCGACATGTTACGGCTGCAATCGAAATCTTATTCATATGAGAGCCTGTCTAAATTTGTAATAAATACTCCCGCCGACTGTTTCTGCTCCGTTTCGCTCCCAACCTTTCACGTGCTTTTCGCTATACAAATCAAATCCTTGAAGAAACATTCTGTCTTTCTGAAGGACACACCCCATGTGTTTTTTCCTAACGTCATAAAATCGGAATTAGTCTTGGCCTTACCTTTGGAATTTCTCTCATTTCTTACTGAGTCAGTAACTGAATACAGTGATAATAATTTTTCCGTCAGTAATTGATGTTATTGCCGTAGGATAATGTGGAAACATTTTTTCTTGTAGGTAATTGTTTACAGAAAATTAGCTTGATCAAAATAGGGAGAAAATGGTATATAAAATAGATGCTGACGTCTGCAGTATATTATTTTTACCTCTTCACTCAGACGATGATGAGGAAGAGGGCGATGATGGCGAGAAAGGCAACTGCAGAACTTTAAAACTTGAAAGCAAAAACAAAGAAAAAGACGAGAAATCTCTTTCCAAGGCCAAGAAAATCAAGTCAATGAAGATAACGAAAGAACTATCAGGGGGCAAGTGCAAGAAGAATAAATCCTTTGGCTATAAAGGAAAGAAGGCCTGGGTGAAGAACGACTGCCGTGCAGTATTCAAAGTTTGCTACAAGCCAAAAGGCGATGAAGGTTTGTTTTCACTTGAGAACTGGAAAACAATCTTGCTTTCAACTTATCAAAGTTATTACTTTCTGGTTTGTTTATGTCGTCTACCTTCTCTTGACATTTTTGTGAGGTTTTCAATAGGTGTCCTCCTACCTCGTTTGTTGCGCTTGCATTCCAAATCTGATTCATTTATGTGCCACTCCGGAGTTTCAAGAACTTCTCCCACTGACTGATTCTGCTACTTTTTTCCTCCCTTCATTCCACATACTTTAAGGGATAAAAATGGAAAAGTTCGAAAAACATTCTGCCTTTCTGAAGGCACCCACTATCTGATTTTTCCTTACGTCATTCAATCGGTATCACTCTTGGCCTAACATTTGGAACTTCTGTCGTATTTACATTCGTGGTCATTTTTGTTGTTGTTGTTTTTTCTGGTCAAGTCAGAAATTGTTTACTCAAACAGTAGTTTTACGGTCTGTAACTGGTTTCCTACCCTTCCAATTTTTTGGAAACATTTCTATTTTTACATGTATTCGTTTGAAAAAAATTCCGTGAATTGGGTTTGTAAGTTAGGTGCTGATGTCTGCAGTGTATTCTTTTAATGGTTTTTTTTTCAGAAGATGATGAGGAAGAAGAAGAAAGCGGTAAAGGCAACTGCAGAAAGTTAAAACTAGAAAGCAAACAGAAAAAGAAAGACGAGAAATCTCTTTCCAAGGCCAAGAAAATCAAGTCAATGAAGATAACGAAAGAGCTGTCAAACGGCAAGTGCAAAAAGAATAAATCCTTTGGCTATAAAGGAAGGAAGGCCTGGGTGAAGAACAACTGCCGTGCAGTTTTCAAAGTTTGCTACAAGCCAAAAGGCGGCAAAGGCGACGAAGGTTTGTGTTTCCTTGAGCTCTTGAAAACATTTTTACAGCATACTTATCAAAACCACTACTTCCGGTCTGTGTATTTCGTGCGTCTTTTCGTGACATTTCTATCTGCAATTCAATGGGTTGCTTTCTACCTTGTTTGTTGCGGCTGCAATCCAAATCGAAACCAGAGTTTCATGAATTACTCCAACTGACTGATTCCGTTCCGTTTTGCTCTCCACGTTTCACATTATTTTAAGGATAAATTTGGAAACTACGCAAAAAAACCAAAATACAAAAACATGATGTCTTTCTTGTGGATACCCTTCAATATGTTCTTTCCTAGAACCATACTATCGTTGCAAATCTTTGCCTAACTTTTGGAATTTCTTTTCTTTTGCCATTTATTGGCTGGGTTGGTGTTTTTCTAACATAACAGTTAATAATTGCTTGATGCAGCAATACTTTTCCTGTCTGTAACTAGTGTCATGGAACCTCAGGTTTTTGGAAACATTCTATTAGCGGGTACTTCTACGCATGCATTAGCAAATTGCCGTAGAATGGGTATGTAAGTTAGGCGCTGACGTCTGCAGTATATTATTTTCACCTTTTCTCTTAGACGATGATGAGGAAGAAGGCGATGAAGGCGATAAAGGCAACTGCAGAACTTTAAAACTTGAAAGCAAAAACAAAGAGAAAGACCAGAAATCTCTCTCCAAGGCCAAGAAAATCAAGTCAATGAAGATAACTAAAGAACTGTCTGAGGGCAAGTGCAAGAAGAATAAATCCTTTGGCTATAAAGGAAAGAAGGCCTGGGTGAAGAACGACTGCCGTGCAGTATTCAAAGTTTGCTACAAGCCAAAAGGCGATGAAGGTTTGTTTTCACTTGAGAACTGGAAAACAATCTTGCTTTCAACTTATCAAAGTTATTACTTTCTGGTTTGTTTATGTCGTCTACCTTCTCTTGACATTTTTGTGAGGTTTTCAATAGGTGTCCTCCTACCTCGTTTGTTGCGCTTGCATTCCAAATCTGATTCATTTATGTGCCACTCCGGAGTTTCAAGAACTTCTCCCACTGACTGATTCTGCTACTTTTTTCCTCCCTTCATTCCACATACTTTAAGGGATAAAAATGGAAAAGTTCGAAAAACATTCTGCCTTTCTGAAGGCACCCACTATCTGATTTTTCCTTACGTCATTCAATCGGTATCACTCTTGGCCTAACATTTGGAACTTCTGTCGTATTTACATTCGTGGTCATTTTTGTTGTTGTTGTTTTTTCTGGTCAAGTCAGAAATTGTTTACTCAAACAGTAGTTTTACGGTCTGTAACTGGTTTCCTACCCTTCCAATTTTTTGGAAACATTTCTATTTTTACATGTATTCGTTTGAAAAAAATTCCGTGAATTGGGTTTGTAAGTTAGGTGCTGATGTCTGCAGTGTATTCTTTTAATGGTTTTTTTTTCAGAAGATGATGAGGAAGAAGAAGAAAGCGGTAAAGGCAACTGCAGAAAGTTAAAACTAGAAAGCAAACAGAAAAAGAAAGACGAGAAATCTCTTTCCAAGGCCAAGAAAATCAAGTCAATGAAGATAACGAAAGAGCTGTCAAACGGCAAGTGCAAAAAGAATAAATCCTTTGGCTATAAAGGAAGGAAGGCCTGGGTGAAGAACAACTGCCGTGCAGTTTTCAAAGTTTGCTACAAGCCAAAAGGCGGCAAAGGCGACGAAGGTTTGTGTTTCCTTGAGCTCTTGAAAACATTTTTACAGCATACTTATCAAAACCACTACTTCCGGTCTGTGTATTTCGTGCGTCTTTTCGTGACATTTCTATCTGCAATTCAATGGGTTGCTTTCTACCTTGTTTGTTGCGGCTGCAATCCAAATCGAAACCAGAGTTTCATGAATTACTCCAACTGACTGATTCCGTTCCGTTTTGCTCTCCACGTTTCACATTATTTTAAGGATAAATTTGGAAACTACGCAAAAAAACCAAAATACAAAAACATGATGTCTTTCTTGTGGATACCCTTCAATATGTTCTTTCCTAGAACCATACTATCGTTGCAAATCTTTGCCTAACTTTTGGAATTTCTTTTCTTTTGCCATTTATTGGCTGGGTTGGTGTTTTTCTAACATAACAGTTAATAATTGCTTGATGCAGCAATACTTTTCCTGTCTGTAACTAGTGTCATGGAACCTCAGGTTTTTGGAAACATTCTATTAGCGGGTACTTCTACGCATGCATTAGCAAATTGCCGTAGAATGGGTATGTAAGTTAGGCGCTGACGTCTGCAGTATATTATTTTCACCTTTTCTCTTAGACGATGATGAGGAAGAAGGCGATGAAGGCGATAAAGGCAACTGCAGAACTTTAAAACTTGAAAGCAAAAACAAAGAGAAAGACCAGAAATCTCTCTCCAAGGCCAAGAAAATCAAGTCAATGAAGATAACTAAAGAACTGTCTGAGGGCAAGTGCAAGAAGAATAAATCCTTTGGCTATAAAGGAAAGAAGGCCTGGGTGAAGAACGACTGCCGTGCAGTATTCAAAGTTTGCTACAAGCCAAAAGGCGAAGAAGGTTTGTTTTCACCTGAGTACTGGAAAACAATCTGGCTGCTTCTTTATCAAATTCATTGCTTTTGGTCTGTGTATCTGGTCTGCCTTCTGGTAAATTCTGCATCAGTATTTAAATGCATTGCTTTTCTCCGACATGTTACGGCTGCAATCCAAATCTTAGTCATATGAGAGCCTGTCTAAATTTGTAATAAATACTCCCGCCGACTGTTTCTGCTCCGTTTCGCTCCCAACCTTTCACGTGCTTTTCGCTATACAAATCAAATCCTTGAAGAAACATTCTGTCTTTCTGAAGGACACACCCCATGTGTTTTTTCCTAACGTCATAAAATCGGAATTAGTCTTGGCCTTACCTTTGGAATTTCTCTCATTTCTTACTGAGTCAGTAACTGAATACAGTGATAATAATTTTTCCGTCAGTAATTGATGTTATTGCCGTAGGATAATGTGGAAACATTTTTTCTTGTAGGTAATTGTTTACAGAAAATTAGCTTGATCAAAATAGGGAGAAAATGGTATATAAAATAGATGCTGACGTCTGCAGTATATTATTTTTACCTCTTCACTCAGACGATGATGAGGAAGAGGGCGATGATGGCGAGAAAGGCAACTGCAGAACTTTAAAACTTGAAAGCAAAAACAAAGAAAAAGACGAGAAATCTCTTTCCAAGGCCAAGAAAATCAAGTCAATGAAGATAACGAAAGAGCTGTCAAATCGCAAGTGCAAAAAGAATAAATCCTTTGGCTATAAAGGAAGGAAGGCCTGGGTGAAGAACAACTGCCGTGCAGTTTTCAAAGTTTGCTACAAGCCAAAAGGCGGCAAAGGCGACGAAGGTTTGTGTTTCCTTGAGCTCTTGAAAACATTTTTACAGCATACTTATCAAAACCACTACTTCCGGTCTGTGTATTTCGTGCGTCTTTTCGTGACATTTCTATCTGCAATTCAATGGGTTGCTTTCTACCTTGTTTGTTGCGGCTGCAATCCAAATCGAAACCAGAGTTTCATGAATTACTCCAACTGACTGATTCCGTTCCGTTTTGCTCTCCACGTTTCACATTATTTTAAGGATAAATTTGGAAACTACGCAAAAAAACCAAAATACAAAAACATGATGTCTTTCTTGTGGATACCCTTCAATATGTTCTTTCCTAGAACCATACTATCGTTGCAAATCTTTGCCTAACTTTTGGAATTTCTTTTCTTTTGCCATTTATTGGCTGGGTTGGTGTTTTTCTAACATAACAGTTAATAATTGCTTGATGCAGCAATACTTTTCCTGTCTGTAACTAGTGTCATGGAACCTCAGGTTTTTGGAAACATTCTATTAGCGGGTACTTCTACGCATGCATTAGCAAATTGCCGTAGAATGGGTATGTAAGTTAGGCGCTGACGTCTGCAGTATATTATTTTCACCTTTTCTCTTAGACGATGATGAGGAAGAAGGCGATGAAGGCGATAAAGGCAACTGCAGAACTTTAAAACTTGAAAGCAAAAACAAAGAGAAAGACCAGAAATCTCTCTCCAAGGCCAAGAAAATCAAGTCAATGAAGATAACTAAAGAACTGTCTGAGGGCAAGTGCAAGAAGAATAAATCCTTTGGCTATAAAGGAAAGAAGGCCTGGGTGAAGAACGACTGCCGTGCAGTATTCAAAGTTTGCTACAAGCCAAAAGGCGAAGAAGGTTTGTTTTCACCTGAGTACTGGAAAACAATCTGGCTGCTTCTTTATCAAATTCATTGCTTTTGGTCTGTGTATCTGGTCTGCCTTCTGGTAAATTCTGCATCAGTATTTAAATGCATTGCTTTTCTCCGACATGTTACGGCTGCAATCCAAATCTTAGTCATATGAGAGCCTGTCTAAATTTGTAATAAATACTCCCGCCGACTGTTTCTGCTCCGTTTCGCTCCCAACCTTTCACGTGCTTTTCGCTATACAAATCAAATCCTTGAAGAAACATTCTGTCTTTCTGAAGGACACACCCCATGTGTTTTTTCCTAACGTCATAAAATCGGAATTAGTCTTGGCCTTACCTTTGGAATTTCTCTCATTTCTTACTGAGTCAGTAACTGAATACAGTGATAATAATTTTTCCGTCAGTAATTGATGTTATTGCCGTAGGATAATGTGGAAACATTTTTTCTTGTAGGTAATTGTTTACAGAAAATTAGCTTGATCAAAATAGGGAGAAAATGGTATATAAAATAGATGCTGACGTCTGCAGTATATTATTTTTACCTCTTCACTCAGACGATGATGAGGAAGAGGGCGATGATGGCGAGAAAGGCAACTGCAGAACTTTAAAACTTGAAAGCAAAAACAAAGAAAAAGACGAGAAATCTCTTTCCAAGGCCAAGAAAATCAAGTCAATGAAGATAACGAAAGAGCTGTCAAATCGCAAGTGCAAAAAGAATAAATCCTTTGGCTATAAAGGAAGGAAGGCCTGGGTGAAGAACAACTGCCGTGCAGTTTTCAAAGTTTGCTACAAGCCAAAAGGCGGCAAAGGCGACGAAGGTTTGTGTTTCCTTGAGCTCTTGAAAACATTTTTACAGCATACTTATCAAAACCACTACTTCCGGTCTGTGTATTTCGTGCGTCTTTTCGTGACATTTCTATCTGCAATTCAATGGGTTGCTTTCTACCTTGTTTGTTGCGGCTGCAATCCAAATCGAAACCAGAGTTTCATGAATTACTCCAACTGACTGATTCCGTTCCGTTTTGCTCTCCACGTTTCACATTATTTTAAGGATAAATTTGGAAACTACGCAAAAAAACCAAAATACAAAAACATGATGTCTTTCTTGTGGATACCCTTCAATATGTTCTTTCCTAGAACCATACTATCGTTGCAAATCTTTGCCTAACTTTTGGAATTTCTTTTCTTTTGCCATTTATTGGCTGGGTTGGTGTTTTTCTAACATAACAGTTAATAATTGCTTGATGCAGCAATACTTTTCCTGTCTGTAACTAGTGTCATGGAACCTCAGGTTTTTGGAAACATTCTATTAGCGGGTACTTCTACGCATGCATTAGCAAATTGCCGTAGAATGGGTATGTAAGTTAGGCGCTGACGTCTGCAGTATATTATTTTCACCTTTTCTCTTAGACGATGATGAGGAAGAAGGCGATGAAGGCGATAAAGGCAACTGCAGAACTTTAAAACTTGAAAGCAAAAACAAAGAGAAAGACCAGAAATCTCTCTCCAAGGCCAAGAAAATCAAGTCAATGAAGATAACTAAAGAACTGTCTGAGGGCAAGTGCAAGAAGAATAAATCCTTTGGCTATAAAGGAAAGAAGGCCTGGGTGAAGAACGACTGCCGTGCAGTATTCAAAGTTTGCTACAAGCCAAAAGGCGAAGAAGGTTTGTTTTCACCTGAGTACTGGAAAACAATCTGGCTGCTTCTTTATCAAATTCATTGCTTTTGGTCTGTGTATCTGGTCTGCCTTCTGGTAAATTCTGCATCAGTATTTAAATGCATTGCTTTTCTCCGACATGTTACGGCTGCAATCCAAATCTTAGTCATATGAGAGCCTGTCTAAATTTGTAATAAATACTCCCGCCGACTGTTTCTGCTCCGTTTCGCTCCCAACCTTTCACGTGCTTTTCGCTATACAAATCAAATCCTTGAAGAAACATTCTGTCTTTCTGAAGGACACACCCCATGTGTTTTTTCCTAACGTCATAAAATCGGAATTAGTCTTGGCCTTACCTTTGGAATTTCTCTCATTTCTTACTGAGTCAGTAACTGAATACAGTGATAATAATTTTTCCGTCAGTAATTGATGTTATTGCCGTAGGATAATTTGGAAACATTTTTTCTTGTAGGTAATTGTTTACAGAAAATTAGCTTGATCAAAATAGGGAGAAAATGGTATATAAAATAGATGCTGACGTCTGCAGTATATTATTTTTACCTCTTCACTCAGACGATGATGAGGAAGAGGGCGATGATGGCGAGAAAGGCAACTGCAGAACTTTAAAACTTGAAAGCAAAAACAAAGAAAAAGACGAGAAATCTCTTTCCAAGGCCAAAAAAATCAAGTCAATGAAGATAACGAAAGAACTATCAGGGGGCAAGTGCAAGAAGAATAAATCCTTTGGCTATAAAGGAAAGAAGGCCTGGGTGAAGAACAACTGCCGTGCAGTTTTCAAAGTTTGCTACAAGCCAAAAGGCGGCAAAGGCGACGAAGGTTTGTGTTTCCTTGAGCTCTTGAAAACAATTTTACAGCATACTTATCAAAACCACTACTTCCGGTCTGTGTATTTCGTGCGTCTTTTCGTGACATTTCTATCTGCAATTCAATGGGTTGCTTTCTACCTTGTTTGTTGCGGCTGCAATCCAAATCGAAACCAAAGTTTCATGAATTACTCCAACTGACTGATTCCGTTCCGTTTTGCTCTCCACGTTTCACATTATTTTAAGGATAAATACAAAAACATGATGTCTTTCTTGTGGATACCCTTCAATATGTTCTTTCCTAGAACCATACTATCGTTGCAAATCTTTGCCTAACTTTTGGAATTTCTTTTCTTAACTTTTGGAATTTCTTTTCTTTTGCCATTTATTGGCTGGGTTGGTGTTTTTCTAACATAACAGTACTTTTCCTGTCTGTAACTAGTGTCATGGAACCTCAGGTTTTTGGAAACATTCTATTAGCGGGTACTTCTACGCATGCGGGTACTTCTACGCATGCATTAGCAAATTGCCGTAGAATGGGTATGTAAGTTATGCGCTGACGTCTGCAGTATATTATTTTCACCTTTTCTCTTAGACGATGAGGAAGAAGGCGATGAAGGCGATAAAGGCAACTGCAGAACTTTAAAACTTGAAAGCAAAAACAAAGAGAAAGACCAGAAATCTCTCTCCAAGGCCAAGAAAATCAAGTCAATGAAGATAACTAAAGAACTGTCTGAGGGCAAGTGCAAGAAGAATAAATCCTTTGGCTATAAAGGAAAGAAGGCCTGGGTGAAGAACGACTGCCGTGCAGTATTCAAAGTTTGCTACAAGCCAAAAGGCGATGAAGGTTTGTTTTCACCTGAGTACTGGAAAACAATCTTGCTTTCTACTTATCAAAGTTATTACTCTGGTTTGCGTATGCCGTCTACCTTCTTTTGACAGTTTTGTGAGGATTTCAAAAGGTGTCCTCCTACCTCGTTTGTTGCGCTTGCATTCCAAATCTGATTCATTTATGTGCCACTCCGGAGTTTCAAGAACTTCTCCCACTGACTGATTCTGCTACTTTTTTCCTCCCTTCATTCCACATACTTTAAGGGATAAAAATGGAAAAGTTCGAAAAACATTCTGCCTCTCTGAAGGCACCCAGTATCTGATTTTTCCTAACGTCATTCAATCGGTATCACTCTTGGCCTAACATTTGGAACTTCTGTCCTATTTACATTCGTGGTCATTTTTGTTGTTGATGGGGGGTTTTTTCTGGTCAAGTCAGAAATTGTTTACTCGAACAATAGTTTTACGGTCTGTAACTGGTTTCCTTCCCTTCCAATTATTAGGACAAATTCCTTTTTTCCCATGTATTCGTTTGGGAAAATTCCGTGAATTTGGTTTGTAAGTTAGGTGCTTATGTCTGCAGTGTATTCTATTATGTTTCTTTTCAGACGATGATGAGGAAGAAGAAGGCGATAAAGGCAACTGCAGAAAGTTAAAACTAGAAAGCAAACAGAAAAAGAAAGACGAGAAATCTCTTTCAAAGGCCAAGAAAATCAAGTCAATGAAGATAACGAAAGAGCTGTCAAACGGCAAGTGCAAAAAGGATAAATCCTTTGGCTACAAAGGAAGGAAGGCCTGGGTGAAGAACAACTGCCGTGCAGTTTTCAAAGTTTGCTACAAGCCAAAAGGCGGCAAAGGCGACGAAGGTTTGTGTTTCCTTGAGCTCTTGAAAACCATTTAACAGCATACTTATCAAAACCACTACCTCCGGTGTGTGTACTTTGTGCGTCTTTTCGTGACTTTTCTATCAGCAATTCAATGGGTTTCTTTCTACCTTGTGCGTTGCTGCTGCAATCCAATTCGAAACCAAAGTTTCAAGAATTACTCCCACTGCCAGATTCCGTTCCGTTTTGCTCAGCACATTTCACATGATCTTAAGGATAAATGTGGAAAATTTGAAGAAATACAAAATACAAAAACATGATATCTTTCTTGTGGATACCCTTCAATATGTTCTGTCCTAGTGCTGTACTATTGTTACCAATCTTTGTCTACCTTTTGGAATTTCTTTCCTTTTTCCATTTATTGGCTGGGTCGGTGTTTTTTAAACATAACAGTTAATAATTGTGTGCTGCAACAATACTTTTCCCGTCTGTAACTTGTGGCATGGAATCCCAGGATTTTGGAAACATTCTATTAGCAGGTACTTCTACGCATGTATTAGCAAATTGCCGTAGAATGGGTATGTAATTTAGGCGCATACCTCTGCAGTATATTATTTTCACCTTTTCTCTCAGACGATGATGAGGAAGAGGGCGATGAAGGCGATAAAGGCAACTGCAGAACTTTAAAACTTGAAAGCAAAAACAAAGAGAAAGACCAGAAATCTCTTTCAAAGGCCAAGAAAATCAAGTCAATGAAGATAACGAAAGAACTGTCAGAGGGCAAGTGCAAAAAGAATAAATCTTTTGGCTATAAAGGAAGGAAGGCCTGGGTGAAGAACGACTGCCGTGCAGTATTCAAAGTTTGCTACAAGCCAAAAGGCGATGAAGGTTTGTTTTCACCTGAGTACTGGAAAACAATGTGGCTGCTGCATTATCAAATTCATTTTTCTTGGTCTGTGTATCTGATCTGCCTTCTCGTAAATTCTGCATCAGTATTTAAATGCGTTGCTTTGTTCCTACTTGTTACGACTGCAATCCAAATTTTAGTCATATGAGAGCCTGTCTAAAATTGTAATAAATACTCCCGCCGACTGTTTCTGCTCCGTTTTGCTCCTTATATTCCACATGCTTTTAGCTATACAAATGAAATGCTGGGAGAAACATTCTGTCTTTCTGAAGGACACACCCCTTGCGTTCTTTCCTAACGTCATACAATCGGAATCAGTCTTGGCCTTTCCTTTAGAATGTCTATTCTATTGGCATAAAAAGCCTTTTGGGGTTTCTTTTTTCTTACTGAGTCAGTAACTGAATACTGTGACATAAATTGTTCCGTCAGTAATTGATGTTATTGCCGAAGGATATTTTGGAAACATTCTTTCTTGTAGGTAATTCTTTACAAAAAATGAGCTTGATCAAAATAGGGAGAAATGGGTATTTAAATTAGATGCTGACGTCTGCAGTATATTATTTTTACCTTTTCACTCAGACGATGATGAGGAAGAAGGCGATGATGGCGAGAAAGGCAACTGCAGAACTTTAAAACTTGAAAGCAAAAACAAAGAAAAAGACCAGAAATCTCTTTCCAAGGCCAAGAAAATCAAGTCAATGAAGATAACGAAAGAACTGTCAGAGGGCAAGTGCAAGAAGAATAAATCCTTTGCCTATAAAGGAAGAAAGGCCTGGGTGAAGAACGACTGCCGTGCAGTATTCAAAGTTTGCTACAAGCCAAAAGGCGATGAAGGTTTGTTTTCACCTGAGTACTGGAAAACAATCTCGCATTCAACTTATCAAAGTTATTACTTCTGGTTTGCTTATGTCGTCTACCTTCTCTTGACATTTTTGTGAGGTTTTCAATAGGTGTCCTCCTACCTCGTTTGTTGCGCTTGCATTCCAAATCTGATTCATTTATGTGCCACTCCGGAGTTTCAAGAACTTCTCCCAAAGACTGATTCTGCTACTTTTTTCCTCCCTTCATTCCACATACTTTAAGGGATAAAAATGGAAAAGTTCGAAAAACATTCTGCCTTTCTGAAGGCACCCATTATCTGATTGTTCCTAACGTCATTCAATCGGTATCACTCTTGGCCTAACATTTGGAACTTCTGTCGTATTTACATTCGTGGTCATTTTTGTTGTTCTTGGTTTTTCTTCTGGGAAAGTCAGAAATTGTTTATTCAAACAATAGTTTTATGTTTTGTAACTGGTTTCCTTCTCTTCCAATTATTTGGACACATTCCTATTTTCACATGTATTCGTTTGCGAAAATTCCGTGAATTTGGTTTGTAAGTTAGGTGCTTATGTCTGCAGTGTATTCTTTTAATCTTTTTCTTCAGACGATGATGAGGAAGAAGAAGAAGGCGGTAAAGGCAACTGCAGAAAGTTAAAACTAGAAAGCAAACAGAAAAAGAAAGACGAGAAATCTCTTTCAAAGGCCAAGAAAATCAAGTCAATGAAGATAACGAAAGAGCTGTCAAACGGCAAGTGCAAAAAGGATAAATCCTTTGGCTACAAAGGAAGGAAGGCCTGGGTGAAGAACAACTGCCGTGCAGTTTTCAAAGTTTGCTACAAGCCAAAAGGCGGCAAAGGCGACGAAGGTTTGTGTTTCCTTGAGCTCTTGAAAACCATTTTAGATCATACTTATCAAAACCACTACTTCCGGTCTGTGTATTTCGTGCGTCTTTTCGTGACTTTTCTATCAGCCATTCAATGGGTTGCTTTCTACCTTGTGTGTTGCGGCTGCAATCCAAATCGAAACCAAAGTTTCAAGAATTACTCCCACTGACTGATTCCGTTCCGTTTTGCTCACCACTTTTCACATTATTTTAAGGATAAAGGTGGAAAATTTGAAGAAAAACAAAGTACAAAAACATGAGATCTTTCTTGTGGATACCCTTCAATATTGTCTTTCTTAGCGCCATACTATCGTTACCAATCTTTGCCTAACTTTTGGAATTTCTTTCCTTTTGCCATTTATCTGCTTGGTTGGTGTTTATTTTTAGCATAACAGTTAATACTTGTTTGCTGCAATAATACTTTTCCCGTCTGTAACTAGTGTCATGGAATCCCAGGTTTTTAAAAACATTCTATTAGCGGGTGTTTCTACGCATGTGTTAGCAAATTGCCGTAGAATGGGTATGTAATTTAGGCGCATACCTCTGCAGTATATTATTTTCACCTTTTCTCTCAGACGATGATGAGGAAGAGGGCGATGAAGGCGATAAAGGCAACTGCAGAACTTTAAAACTTGAAAGCAAAAACAAAGAGAAAGACCAGAAATCTCTTTCAAAGGCCAAGAAAATCAAGTCAATGAAGATAACGAAAGAACTGTCAGAGGGCAAGTGCAAAAAGAATAAATCTTTTGGCTATAAAGGAAGGAAGGCCTGGGTGAAGAACGACTGCCGTGCAGTATTCAAAGTTTGCTACAAGCCAAAAGGCGATGAAGGTTTGTTTTCACCTGAGTACTGGAAAACAATCTCGCATTCAACTTATCAAAGTTATTACTTCTGGTTTGCTTATGTCGTCTACCTTCTCTTGACATTTTTGTGAGGTTTTCAATAGGTGTCCTCCTACCTCGTTTGTTGCGCTTGCATTCCAAATCTGATTCATTTATGTGTCACTCCGGAGTTTCAAGAACTTCTCCCACTGACTGATTCTGCTACTTTTTTCCTCCCTTCATTCCACATACTTTAAGGGATAAAAATGGAAAAGTTCGAAAAACATTCTGCCTTTCTGAAGGCACCCATTATCTGATTTTTCCTAACGTCATTCAATCGGTATCACTCTTGGCCTAAGATTTGGAACTTCTGTCGTATTTACATTCGTGGTCATTTTTGTTGTTCTTGGTTTTTCTTCTGGGAAAGTCAGAAATTGTTTATTCAAACAATAGTTTTACGTTTTGTAACTGGTTTCCTTCTCTTCCAATTATTTGGACACATTCCTATTTTCACATGTATTCGTTTGCGAAAATTCCGTGAATTTGGTTTGTAAGTTAGGTGCTTATGTCTGCAGTGTATTCTTTTAATCTTTTTCTTCAGACGATGATGAGGAAGAAGAAGAAGGCGGTAAAGGCAACTGCAGAAAGTTAAAACTAGAAAGCAAACAGAAAAAGAAAGACGAGAAATCTCTTTCAAAGGCCAAGAAAATCAAGTCAATGAAGATAACGAAAGAACTGTCAGAGGGCAAGTGCAAAAAGAATAAATCTTTTGGCTATAAAGGAAGGAAGGCCTGGGTGAAGAACGACTGCCGTGCAGTATTCAAAGTTTGCTACAAGCCAAAAGGCGATGAAGGTTTGTTTTCACCTGAGTACTGGAAAACAATCTCGCATTCAACTTATCAAAGTTATTACTTCTGGTTTGCTTATGTCGTCTACCTTCTCTTGACATTTTTGTGAGGTTTTCAATAGGTGTCCTCCTACCTCGTTTGTTGCGCTTGCATTCCAAATCTGATTCATTTATGTGTCACTCCGGAGTTTCAAGAACTTCTCCCACTGACTGATTCTGCTACTTTTTTCCTCCCTTCATTCCACATACTTTAAGGGATAAAAATGGAAAAGTTCGAAAAACATTCTGCCTTTCTGAAGGCACCCATTATCTGATTTTTCCTAACGTCATTCAATCGGTATCACTCTTGGCCTAAGATTTGGAACTTCTGTCGTATTTACATTCGTGGTCATTTTTGTTGTTCTTGGTTTTTCTTCTGGGAAAGTCAGAAATTGTTTATTCAAACAATAGTTTTACGTTTTGTAACTGGTTTCCTTCTCTTCCAATTATTTGGACACATTCCTATTTTCACATGTATTCGTTTGCGAAAATTCCGTGAATTTGGTTTGTAAGTTAGGTGCTTATGTCTGCAGTGTATTCTTTTAATCTTTTTCTTCAGACGATGATGAGGAAGAAGAAGAAGGCGGTAAAGGCAACTGCAGAAAGTTAAAACTAGAAAGCAAACAGAAAAAGAAAGACGAGAAATCCCTTTCAAAGGCCAAGAAAATCAAGTCAATGAAGATAACGAAAGAGCTGTCAAACGGCAAGTGCAAAAAGAATAAATCCTTTGGCTACAAAGGAAGGAAGGCCTGGGTGAAGAACAACTGCCGTGCAGTTTTCAAAGTTTGCTACAAGCCAAAAGGCGGCAAAGGCGACGAAGGTTTGTGTTTCCTTGAGCTCTTGAAAACCATTTTAGATCATACTTATCAAAACCACTACTTCCGGTCTGTGTATTTCGTGCGTCTTTTCGTGACTTTTCTATCAGCCATTCAATGGGTTGCTTTCTACCTTGTGTGTTGCGGCTGCAATCCAAATCGAAACCAAAGTTTCAAGAATTACTCCCACTGACTGATTCCGTTCCGTTTTGCTCACCACTTTTCACATTATTTTAAGGATAAAGGTGGAAAATTTGAAGAAAAACAAAGTACAAAAACATGATATCTTTCTTGTGGATACCCTTCAATATGTTCTGTCCTAGTGCTGTACTATTGTTACCAATCTTTGTCTACCTTTTGGAATTTCTTTCCTTTTTCCATTTATTGGCTGGGTCGGTGTTTTTTAAACATAACAGTTAATAATTGTGTGCTGCAACAATACTTTTCCCGTCTGTAACTTGTGGCATGGAATCCCAGGATTTTGGAAACATTCTATTAGCAGGTACTTCTACGCATGTATTAGCAAATTGCCGTAGAATGGGTATGTAATTTAGGCGCATACCTCTGCAGTATATTATTTTCACCTTTTCTCTCAGACGATGATGAGGAAGAGGGCGATGAAGGCGATAAAGGCAACTGCAGAACTTTAAAACTTGAAAGCAAAAACAAAGAGAAAGACCAGAAATCTCTTTCAAAGGCCAAGAAAATCAAGTCAATGAAGATAACGAAAGAACTGTCAGAGGGCAAGTGCAAAAAGAATAAATCTTTTGGCTATAAAGGAAGGAAGGCCTGGGTGAAGAACGACTGCCGTGCAGTATTCAAAGTTTGCTACAAGCCAAAAGGCGATGAAGGTTTGTTTTCACCTGAGTACTGGAAAACAATCTCGCATTCAACTTATCAAAGTTATTACTTCTGGTTTGCTTATGTCGTCTACCTTCTCTTGACATTTTTGTGAGGTTTTCAATAGGTGTCCTCCTACCTCGTTTGTTGCGCTTGCATTCCAAATCTGATTCATTTATGTGCCACTCCGGAGTTTCAAGAACTTCTCCCACTGACTGATTCTGCTACTTTTTTCCTCCCTTCATTCCACATACTTTAAGGGATAAAAATGGAAAAGTTCGAAAAACATTCTGCCTTTCTGAAGGCACCCATTATCTGATTTTTCCTAACGTCATTCAATCGGTATCACTCTTGGCCTAAGATTTGGAACTTCTGTCGTATTTACATTCGTGGTCATTTTTGTTGTTCTTGGTTTTTCTTCTGGGAAAGTCAGAAATTGTTTATTCAAACAATAGTTTTATGTTTTGTAACTGGTTTCCTTCTCTTCCAATTATTTGGACACATTCCTATTTTCACATGTATTCGTTTGCGAAAATTCCGTGAATTTGGTTTGTAAGTTAGGTGCTTATGTCTGCAGTGTATTCTTTTAATCTTTTTCTTCAGACGATGATGAGGAAGAAGAAGAAGGCGGTAAAGGCAACTGCAGAAAGTTAAAACTAGAAAGCAAACAGAAAAAGAAAGACGAGAAATCTCTTTCAAAGGCCAAGAAAATCAAGTCAATGAAGATAACGAAAGAGCTGTCAAACGGCAAGTGCAAAAAGAATAAATCCTTTGGCTACAAAGGAAGGAAGGCCTGGGTGAAGAACAACTGCCGTGCAGTTTTCAAAGTTTGCTACAAGCCAAAAGGCGGCAAAGGCGACGAAGGTTTGTGTTTCCTTGAGCTCTTGAAAACCATTTTAGATCATACTTATCAAAACCACTACTTCCGGTCTGTGTATTTCGTGCGTCTTTTCATGACTTTTCTATCAGCCATTCAATGGGTTGCTTTCTACCTTGTGTGTTGCGGCTGCAATCCAAATCGAAACCAAAGTTTCAAGAATTACTCCCACTGACTGATTCCGTTCCGTTTTGCTCACCACGTTTCACATTATTTTAAGGATAAAGGTGGAAAATTTGAAGAAAAACAAAGTACAAAAACATGAGATCTTTCTTGTGGATACCCTTCAATATTGTCTTTCATAGTGCCATACTATCGTTACCAATCTTTGCCTAACTTTTGGAATTTCTTTCCTTTTGCCATTTATCTGCTTGGTTGGTGTTTATTTTTAGCATAACAGTTAATACTTGTTTGTTGCAACAATACTTTTCCCGTCTGTAACTAGTGTCATGGAATCCCAGGTTTTTAAAAACATTCTATTAGCGGGTGTTTCTACGCATGTATTAGCAAATTGTCGTAGAATGGGTATGTAAGTTAGGCGCTGACGTCTGCAGTATATTATTTTCACCTTTTCTCTCAGACGATGATGAGGAAGAAGGCGATGAAGGCGATAAAGGCAACTGCAGAACTTTAAAACTTGAAAGCAAAAACAAAGAAAAAGACCAGAAATCTCTTTCCAAGGCCAAGAAAATCAAGTCAATGAAGATAACGAAAGAACTGTCTGAGGGCAAGTGCAAGAAGAATAAATCCTTTGGCTATAAAGGAAGAAAGGCCTGGGTGAAGAACAACTGCCGTGCAGTATTCAAAGTTTGCTACAAGCCAAAAGGCGATGAAGGTTTGTTTTCACCTGAGTACTGGAAAACAATCTCGCATTCAACTTATCAAAGTTATTACTTCTGGTTTGCTTATGCCGTCTACCTTCTTTTGACATTTTTGTGAGGATTTCAAAAGGTGTCCTCCTACCTCGTTTGTTGCGCTTGCATTCCAAATCTGATTCATTTATGTGCCACTCCGGAGTTTCAAGAACTTCTCCCACTGACTGATTCTGCTACTTTTTTCCTCCCTTCATTCCACATACTTTAAGGGATAAAAATGGAAAAGTTCGAAAAACATTCTGCCTTTCTGAAGGCACCCATTATCTGATTTTTCCTAACGTCATTCAATCGGTATCACTCTTGGCCTAACATTTGGAACTTCTGTCGTATTTACATTCGTGGTCATTTTTGTTGTTCTTGGTTTTTCTTCTGGGAAAGTCAGAAATTGTTTATTCAAACAATAGTTTTACGTTTTGTAACTGGTTTCCTTCTCTTCCAATTATTTGGACACATTCCTAATTTCACATGTATTGGTTTGCGAAAATTCCGTGAATTTGGTTTGTAAGTTAGGTGCTTATGTCTGCAGTGTATTCTTTTAATCTTTTTCTTCAGACGATGATGAGGAAGAAGAAGGCGGTAAAGGCAACTGCAGAAAGTTAAAACTAGAAAGCAAACAGAAAAAGAAAGACGAGAAATCTCTTTCAAAGGCCAAGAAAATCAAGTCAATGAAGATAACGAAAGAGCTGTCAAACGGCAAGTGCAAAAAGAATAAATCCTTTGGCTACAAAGGAAGGAAGGCCTGGGTGAAGAACAACTGCCGTGCAGTTTTCAAAGTTTGCTACAAGCCAAAAGGCGGCAAAGGCGACGAAGGTTTGTGTTTCCTTGAGCTCTTGAAAACCATTTTAGATCATACTTATCAAAACCACTACTTCCGGTCTGTGTATTTCGTGCGTCTTTTCGTGACTTTTCTATCAGCCATTCAATGGGTTGCTTTCTACCTTGTGTGTTGCGGCTGCAATCCAAATCGAAACCAAAGTTTCAAGAATTACTCCCACTGACTGATTCCGTTCCGTTTTGCTCACCACTTTTCACATTATTTTAAGGATAAAGGTGGAAAATTTGAAGAAAAACAAAGTACAAAAACATGAGATCTTTCTTGTGGATACCCTTCAATATTGTCTTTCTTAGCGCCATACTATCGTTACCAATCTTTGCCTAACTTTTGGAATTTCTTTCCTTTTGCCATTTATCTGCTTGGTTGGTGTTTATTTTTAGCATAACAGTTAATACTTGTTTGCTGCAACAATACTTTTCCCGTCTGTAACTAGTGTCATGGAATCCCAGGTTTTTAAAAACATTCTATTAGCGGGTGTTTCTACGCATGTGTTAGCAAATTGTCGTAGAATGGGTATGTAAGTTAGGCGCTGACGTCTGCAGTATATTATTTTCACCTTTTCTCTCAGACGATGATGAGGAAGAAGGCGATGAAGGCGATAAAGGCAACTGCAGAACTTTAAAACTTGAAAGCAAAAACAAAGAAAAAGACCAGAAATCTCTTTCCAAGGCCAAGAAAATCAAGTCAATGAAGATAACGAAAGAACTGTCTGAGGGCAAGTGCAAGAAGAATAAATCCTTTGGCTATAAAGGAAGAAAGGCCTGGGTGAAGAACAACTGCCGTGCAGTATTCAAAGTTTGCTACAAGCCAAAAGGCGATGAAGGTTTGTTTTCACCTGAGTACTGGAAAACAATCTCGCATTCAACTTATCAAAGTTATTACTTCTGGTTTGCTTATGTCGTCTACCTTCTCTTGACATTTTTGTGAGGTTTTCAATAGGTGTCCTCCTACCTCGTTTGTTGCGCTTGCATTCCAAATCTGATTCATTTATGTGCCACTCCGGAGTTTCAAGAACTTCTCCCACTGACTGATTCTGCTACTTTTTTCCTCCCTTCATTCCACATACTTTAAGGGATAAAAATGGAAAAGTTCGAAAAACATTCTGCCTTTCTGAAGGCACCCATTATCTGATTTTTCCTAACGTCATTCAATCGGTATCACTCTTGGCCTAAGATTTGGAACTTCTGTCGTATTTACATTCGTGGTCATTTTTGTTGTTCTTGGTTTTTCTTCTGGGAAAGTCAGAAATTGTTTATTCAAACAATAGTTTTACGTTTTGTAACTGGTTTCCTTCTCTTCCAATTATTTGGACACATTCCTATTTTCACATGTATTCGTTTGCGAAAATTCCGTGAATTTGGTTTGTAAGTTAGGTGCTTATGTCTGCAGTGTATTCTTTTAATCTTTTTCTTCAGACGATGATGAGGAAGAAGAAGAAGGCGGTAAAGGCAACTGCAGAAAGTTAAAACTAGAAAGCAAACAGAAAAAGAAAGACGAGAAATCTCTTTCAAAGGCCAAGAAAATCAAGTCAATGAAGATAACGAAAGAGCTGTCAAACGGCAAGTGCAAAAAGAATAAGTCCTTTGGCTACAAAGGAAGGAAGGCCTGGGTGAAGAACAACTGCCGTGCAGTTTTCAAAGTTTGCTACAAGCCAAAAGGCGGCAAAGGCGACGAAGGTTTGTGTTTCCTTGAGCTCTTGAAAACCATTTTAGATCATACTTATCAAAACCACTACTTCCGGTCTGTGTATTTCGTGCGTCTTTTCGTGACTTTTCTATCAGCCATTCAATGGGTTGCTTTCTACCTTGTGTGTTGCGGCTGCAATCCAAATCGAAACCAAAGTTTCAAGAATTACTCCCACTGACTGATTCCGTTCCGTTTTGCTCACCACTTTTCACATTATTTTAAGGATAAAGGTGGAAAATTTGAAGAAAAACAAAGTACAAAAACATGAGATCTTTCTTGTGGATACCCTTCAATATTGTCTTTCTTAGCGCCATACTATCGTTACCAATCTTTGCCTAACTTTTGGAATTTCTTTCCTTTTGCCATTTATCTGCTTGGTTGGTGTTTATTTTTAGCATAACAGTTAATACTTGTTTGCTGCAACAATACTTTTCCCGTCTGTAACTAGTGTCATGGAATCCCAGGTTTTTAAAAACATTCTATTAGCGGGTGTTTCTACGCATGTGTTAGCAAATTGTCGTAGAATGGGTATGTAAGTTAGGCGCTGACGTCTGCAGTATATTATTTTCACCTTTTCTCTCAGACGATGATGAGGAAGAAGGCGATGAAGGCGATAAAGGCAACTGCAGAACTTTAAAACTTGAAAGCAAAAACAAAGAAAAAGACCAGAAATCTCTTTCCAAGGCCAAGAAAATCAAGTCAATGAAGATAACGAAAGAACTGTCTGAGGGCAAGTGCAAGAAGAATAAATCCTTTGGCTATAAAGGAAGAAAGGCCTGGGTGAAGAACAACTGCCGTGCAGTATTCAAAGTTTGCTACAAGCCAAAAGGCGATGAAGGTTTGTTTTCACCTGAGTACTGGAAAACAATCTCGCATTCAACTTATCAAAGTTATTACTTCTGGTTTGCTTATGTCGTCTACCTTCTCTTGACATTTTTGTGAGGTTTTCAATAGGTGTCCTCCTACCTCGTTTGTTGCGCTTGCATTCCAAATCTGATTCATTTATGTGCCACTCCGGAGTTTCAAGAACTTCTCCCACTGACTGATTCTGCTACTTTTTTCCTCCCTTCATTCCACATACTTTAAGGGATAAAAATGGAAAAGTTCGAAAAACATTCTGCCTTTCTGAAGGCACCCATTATCTGATTTTTCCTAACGTCATTCAATCGGTATCACTCTTGGCCTAAGATTTGGAACTTCTGTCGTATTTACATTCGTGGTCATTTTTGTTGTTCTTGGTTTTTCTTCTGGGAAAGTCAGAAATTGTTTATTCAAACAATAGTTTTACGTTTTGTAACTGGTTTCCTTCTCTTCCAATTATTTGGACACATTCCTATTTTCACATGTATTCGTTTGCGAAAATTCCGTGAATTTGGTTTGTAAGTTAGGTGCTTATGTCTGCAGTGTATTCTTTTAATCTTTTTCTTCAGACGATGATGAGGAAGAAGAAGAAGGCGGTAAAGGCAACTGCAGAAAGTTAAAACTAGAAAGCAAACAGAAAAAGAAAGACGAGAAATCTCTTTCAAAGGCCAAGAAAATCAAGTCAATGAAGATAACGAAAGAGCTGTCAAACGGCAAGTGCAAAAAGAATAAGTCCTTTGGCTACAAAGGAAGGAAGGCCTGGGTGAAGAACAACTGCCGTGCAGTTTTCAAAGTTTGCTACAAGCCAAAAGGCGGCAAAGGCGACGAAGGTTTGTGTTTCCTTGAGCTCTTGAAAACCATTTTAGATCATACTTATCAAAACCACTACTTCCGGTCTGTGTATTTCGTGCGTCTTTTCGTGACTTTTCTATCAGCCATTCAATGGGTTGCTTTCTACCTTGTGTGTTGCGGCTGCAATCCAAATCGAAACCAAAGTTTCAAGAATTACTCCCACTGACTGATTCCGTTCCGTTTTGCTCACCACTTTTCACATTATTTTAAGGATAAAGGTGGAAAATTTGAAGAAAAACAAAGTACAAAAACATGAGATCTTTCTTGTGGATACCCTTCAATATTGTCTTTCTTAGCGCCATACTATCGTTACCAATCTTTGCCTAACTTTTGGAATTTCTTTCCTTTTGCCATTTATCTGCTTGGTTGGTGTTTATTTTTAGCATAACAGTTAATACTTGTTTGCTGCAACAATACTTTTCCCGTCTGTAACTAGTGTCATGGAATCCCAGGTTTTTAAAAACATTCTATTAGCGGGTGTTTCTACGCATGTGTTAGCAAATTGTCGTAGAATGGGTATGTAAGTTAGGCGCTGACGTCTGCAGTATATTATTTTCACCTTTTCTCTCAGACGATGATGAGGAAGAAGGCGATGAAGGCGATAAAGGCAACTGCAGAACTTTAAAACTTGAAAGCAAAAACAAAGAAAAAGACCAGAAATCTCTTTCCAAGGCCAAGAAAATCAAGTCAATGAAGATAACGAAAGAACTGTCTGAGGGCAAGTGCAAGAAGAATAAATCCTTTGGCTATAAAGGAAGAAAGGCCTGGGTGAAGAACAACTGCCGTGCAGTATTCAAAGTTTGCTACAAGCCAAAAGGCGATGAAGGTTTGTTTTCACCTGAGTACTGGAAAACAATCTCGCATTCAACTTATCAAAGTTATTACTTCTGGTTTGCTTATGTCGTCTACCTTCTCTTGACATTTTTGTGAGGTTTTCAATAGGTGTCCTCCTACCTCGTTTGTTGCGCTTGCATTCCAAATCTGATTCATTTATGTGCCACTCCGGAGTTTCAAGAACTTCTCCCACTGACTGATTCTGCTACTTTTTTCCTCCCTTCATTCCACATACTTTAAGGGATAAAAATGGAAAAGTTCGAAAAACATTCTGCCTTTCTGAAGGCACCCATTATCTGATTTTTCCTAACGTCATTCAATCGGTATCACTCTTGGCCTAAGATTTGGAACTTCTGTCGTATTTACATTCGTGGTCATTTTTGTTGTTCTTGGTTTTTCTTCTGGGAAAGTCAGAAATTGTTTATTCAAACAATAGTTTTACGTTTTGTAACTGGTTTCCTTCTCTTCCAATTATTTGGACACATTCCTATTTTCACATGTATTCGTTTGCGAAAATTCCGTGAATTTGGTTTGTAAGTTAGGTGCTTATGTCTGCAGTGTATTCTTTTAATCTTTTTCTTCAGACGATGATGAGGAAGAAGAAGAAGGCGGTAAAGGCAACTGCAGAAAGTTAAAACTAGAAAGCAAACAGAAAAAGAAAGACGAGAAATCTCTTTCAAAGGCCAAGAAAATCAAGTCAATGAAGATAACGAAAGAGCTGTCAAACGGCAAGTGCAAAAAGAATAAGTCCTTTGGCTACAAAGGAAGGAAGGCCTGGGTGAAGAACAACTGCCGTGCAGTTTTCAAAGTTTGCTACAAGCCAAAAGGCGGCAAAGGCGACGAAGGTTTGTGTTTCCTTGAGCTCTTGAAAACCATTTTAGATCATACTTATCAAAACCACTACTTCCGGTCTGTGTATTTCGTGCGTCTTTTCGTGACTTTTCTATCAGCCATTCAATGGGTTGCTTTCTACCTTGTGTGTTGCGGCTGCAATCCAAATCGAAACCAAAGTTTCAAGAATTACTCCCACTGACTGATTCCGTTCCGTTTTGCTCACCACGTTTCACATTATTTTAAGGATAAAGGTGGAAAATTTGAAGAAAAACAAAGTACAAAAACATGAGATCTTTCTTGTGGATACCCTTCAATATTGTCTTTCTTAGCGCCATACTATTGTTACCAATCTTTGCCTAACTTTTGGAATTTCTTTCCTTTTGCCATTTATCTGCTGGGTTGGTGTTTATTTTTAGCATAACAGTTAATACTTGTTTGCTGCAACAATACTTTTCCCGTCTGTAACTAGTGTCATGGAATCCCAGGTTTTTAAAAACATTCTATTAGCGGGTGTTTCTACGCATGTATTAGCAAATTGTCGTAGAATGGGTATGTAAGTTAGGCGCTGACGTCTGCAGTATATTATTTTCACCTTTTCTCTCAGACGATGATGAGGAAGAAGGCGATGAAGGCGATAAAGGCAACTGCAGAACTTTAAAACTTGAAAGCAAAAACAAAGAAAAAGACCAGAAATCTCTTTCCAAGGCCAAGAAAATCAAGTCAATGAAGATAACGAAAGAACTGTCTGAGGGCAAGTGCAAGAAGAATAAATCCTTTGGCTATAAAGGAAGAAAGGCCTGGGTGAAGAACAACTGCCGTGCAGTATTCAAAGTTTGCTACAAGCCAAAAGGCGATGAAGGTTTGTTTTCACCTGAGTACTGGAAAACAATCTCGCATTCAACTTATCAAAGTTATTACTTCTGGTTTGCTTATGTCGTCTACCTTCTCTTGACATTTTTGTGAGGTTTTCAATAGGTGTCCTCCTACCTCGTTTGTTGCGCTTGCATTCCAAATCTGATTCATTTATGTGCCACTCCGGAGTTTCAAGAACTTCTCCCACTGACTGATTCTGCTACTTTTTTCCTCCCTTCATTCCACATACTTTAAGGGATAAAAATGGAAAAGTTCGAAAAACATTCTGCCTTTCTGAAGGCACCCATTATCTGATTTTTCCTAACGTCATTCAATCGGTATCACTCTTGGCCTAAGATTTGGAACTTCTGTCGTATTTACATTCGTGGTCATTTTTGTTGTTCTTGGTTTTTCTTCTGGGAAAGTCAGAAATTGTTTATTCAAACAATAGTTTTATGTTTTGTAACTGGTTTCCTTCTCTTCCAATTATTTGGACACATTCCTATTTTCACATGTATTCGTTTGCGAAAATTCCGTGAATTTGGTTTGTAAGTTAGGTGCTTATGTCTGCAGTGTATTCTTTTAATCTTTTTCTTCAGACGATGATGAGGAAGAAGAAGAAGGCGGTAAAGGCAACTGCAGAAAGTTAAAACTAGAAAGCAAACAGAAAAAGAAAGACGAGAAATCTCTTTCAAAGGCCAAGAAAATCAAGTCAATGAAGATAACGAAAGAGCTGTCAAACGGCAAGTGCAAAAAGAATAAATCCTTTGGCTACAAAGGAAGGAAGGCCTGGGTGAAGAACAACTGCCGTGCAGTTTTCAAAGTTTGCTACAAGCCAAAAGGCGGCAAAGGCGACGAAGGTTTGTGTTTCCTTGAGCTCTTGAAAACCATTTTAGATCATACTTATCAAAACCACTGCTTCCGGTCTGTGTATTTCGTGCGTCTTTTCGTGACTTTTCTATCAGCCATTCAATGGGTTGCTTTCTACCTTGTGTGTTGCGGCTGCAATCCAAATCGAAACCAAAGTTTCAAGAATTACTCCCACTGACTGATTCCGTTCCGTTTTGCTCACCACGTTTCACATTATTTTAAGGATAAAGGTGGAAAATTTGAAGAAAAACAAAGTACAAAAACATGAGATCTTTCTTGTGGATACCCTTCAATATTGTCTTTCTTAGCGCCATACTATCGTTACCAATCTTTGCCTAACTTTTGGAATTTCTTTCCTTTTGCCATTTATCTGCTTGGTTGGTGTTTATTTTTAGCATAACAGTTAATACTTGTTTGCTGCAACAATACTTTTCCCGTCTGTAACTAGTGTCATGGAATCCCAGGTTTTTAAAAACATTCTATTAGCGGGTGTTTCTACGCATGTACTAGCAAATTGTCGTAGAATGGGTATGTAAGTTAGGCGCTGACGTCTGCAGTATATTATTTTCACCTTTTCTCTCAGACGATGATGAGGAAGAAGGCGATGAAGGCGAGAAAGGCAACTGCAGAACTTTAAAACTTGAAAGCAAAAACAAAGAAAAAGACCAGAAATCTCTTTCCAAGGCCAAGAAAATCAAGTCAATGAAGATAACGAAAGAACTGTCTGAGGGCAAGTGCAAGAAGAATAAATCCTTTGGCTATAAAGGAAGAAAGGCCTGGGTGAAGAACAACTGCCGTGCAGTATTCAAAGTTTGCTACAAGCCAAAAGGCGATGAAGGTTTGTTTTCACCTGAGTACTGGAAAACAATCTCGCATTCAACTTATCAAAGTTATTACTTCTGGTTTGCTTATGTCGTCTACCTTCTCTTGACATTTTTGTGAGGTTTTCAATAGGTGTCCTCCTACCTCGTTTGTTGCGCTTGCATTCCAAATCTGATTCATTTATGTGCCACTCCGGAGTTTCAAGAACTTCTCCCACTGACTGATTCTGCTACTTTTTTCCTCCCTTCATTCCACATACTTTAAGGGATAAAAATGGAAAAGTTCGAAAAACATTCTGCCTTTCTGAAGACACCCACTATCTGATTTTTCCTAACGTCATTCATTCGGTATCACTCTTGGCCTAACATTTGGAACTTCTGTCGTATTTACATTCGTGGTCATTTTTGTTGTTCTTGGTTTTTCTTCTGGGAAAGTCAGAAATTGTTTATTCAAACAATAGTTTTATGTTTTGTAACTGGTTTCCTTCTCTTCCAATTATTTGGACGCATTCCTATTTTCACATGTATTCGTTTGCGAAAATTCCGTGAATTTGGTTTGTAAGTTAGGTGCTTTTCTCTGCAGTGTATTCTTTTAATCTTTTTCTTCAGACGATGATGAGGAAGAAGAAGAAGGCGGTAAAGGCAACTGCAGAAAGTTAAAACTAGAAAGCAAACAGAAAAAGAAAGACGAGAAATCTCTTTCAAAGGCCAAGAAAATCAAGTCAATGAAGATAACGAAAGAGCTGTCAAACGGCAAGTGCAAAAAGGATAAATCCTTTGGCTACAAAGGAAGGAAGGCCTGGGTGAAGAACAACTGCCGTGCAGTTTTCAAAGTTTGCTACAAGCCAAAAGGCGGCAAAGGCGACGAAGGTTTGTGTTTCCTTGAGCTCTTGAAAACCATTTTAGATCATACTTATCAAAACCACTACTTCCGGTCTGTGTATTTCGTGCGTCTTTTCGTGACTTTTCTATCAGCCATTCAATGGGTTGCTTTCTACCTTGTGTGTTGCGGCTGCAATCCAAATCGAAACCAAAGTTTCAAGAATTACTCCCACTGACTGATTCCGTTCCGTTTTGCTCACCACTTTTCACATTATTTTAAGGATAAAGGTGGAAAATTTGAAGAAAAACAAAGTACAAAAACATGAGATCTTTCTTGTGGATACCCTTCAATATTGTCTTTCTTAGCGCCATACTATCGTTACCAATCTTTGCCTAACTTTTGGAATTTCTTTCCTTTTGCCATTTATCTGCTTGGTTGGTGTTTATTTTTAGCATAACAGTTAATACTTGTTTGCTGCAACAATACTTTTCCCGTCTGTAACTAGTGACATGGAATCCCAGGTTTTTAAAAACATTCTATTAGCGGGTGTTTCTACGCATGTGTTAGCAAATTGTCGTAGAATGGGTATGTAAGTTAGGCGCTGACGTCTGCAGTATATTATTTTCACCTTTTCTCTCAGACGATGATGAGGAAGAAGGCGATGAAGGCGATAAAGGCAACTGCAGAACTTTAAAACTTGAAAGCAAAAACAAAGAAAAAGACCAGAAATCTCTTTCCAAGGCCAAGAAAATCAAGTCAATGAAGATAACGAAAGAACTGTCTGAGGGCAAGTGCAAGAAGAATAAATCCTTTGGCTATAAAGGAAGAAAGGCCTGGGTGAAGAACAACTGCCGTGCAGTATTCAAAGTTTGCTACAAGCCAAAAGGCGATGAAGGTTTGTTTTCACCTGAGTACTGGAAAACAATCTCGCATTCAACTTATCAAAGTTATTACTTCTGGTTTGCTTATGTCGTCTACCTTCTCTTGACATTTTTGTGAGGTTTTCAATAGGTGTCCTCCTACCTCGTTTGTTGCGCTTGCATTCCAAATCTGATTCATTTATGTGCCACTCCGGAGTTTCAAGAACTTCTCCCACTGACTGATTCTGCTACTTTTTTCCTCCCTTCATTCCACATACTTTAAGGGATAAAAATGGAAAAGTTCGAAAAACATTCTGCCTTTCTGAAGGCACCCATTATCTGATTTTTCCTAACGTCATTCAATCGGTATCACTCTTGGCCTAAGATTTGGAACTTCTGTCGTATTTACATTCGTGGTCATTTTTGTTGTTCTTGGTTTTTCTTCTGGGAAAGTCAGAAATTGTTTATTCAAACAATAGTTTTACGTTTTGTAACTGGTTTCCTTCTCTTCCAATTATTTGGACACATTCCTATTTTCACATGTATTCGTTTGCGAAAATTCCGTGAATTTGGTTTGTAAGTTAGGTGCTTATGTCTGCAGTGTATTCTTTTAATCTTTTTCTTCAGACGATGATGAGGAAGAAGAAGAAGGCGGTAAAGGCAACTGCAGAAAGTTAAAACTAGAAAGCAAACAGAAAAAGAAAGACGAGAAATCTCTTTCAAAGGCCAAGAAAATCAAGTCAATGAAGATAACGAAAGAGCTGTCAAACGGCAAGTGCAAAAAGGATAAATCCTTTGGCTACAAAGGAAGGAAGGCCTGGGTGAAGAACAACTGCCGTGCAGTTTTCAAAGTTTGCTACAAGCCAAAAGGCGGCAAAGGCGACGAAGGTTTGTGTTTCCTTGAGCTCTTGAAAACCATTTTAGATCATACTTATCAAAACCACTACTTCCGGTCTGTGTATTTCGTGCGTCTTTTCGTGACTTTTCTATCAGCCATTCAATGGGTTGCTTTCTACCTTGTGTGTTGCGGCTGCAATCCAAATCGAAACCAAAGTTTCAAGAATTACTCCCACTGACTGATTCCGTTCCGTTTTGCTCACCACTTTTCACATTATTTTAAGGATAAAGGTGGAAAATTTGAAGAAAAACAAAGTACAAAAACATGAGATCTTTCTTGTGGATACCCTTCAATATTGTCTTTCTTAGCGCCATACTATCGTTACCAATCTTTGCCTAACTTTTGGAATTTCTTTCCTTTTGCCATTTATCTGCTTGGTTGGTGTTTATTTTTAGCATAACAGTTAATACTTGTTTGCTGCAACAATACTTTTCCCGTCTGTAACTAGTGACATGGAATCCCAGGTTTTTAAAAACATTCTATTAGCGGGTGTTTCTACGCATGTGTTAGCAAATTGTCGTAGAATGGGTATGTAAGTTAGGCGCTGACGTCTGCAGTATATTATTTTCACCTTTTCTCTCAGACGATGATGAGGAAGAAGGCGATGAAGGCGATAAAGGCAACTGCAGAACTTTAAAACTTGAAAGCAAAAACAAAGAAAAAGACCAGAAATCTCTTTCCAAGGCCAAGAAAATCAAGTCAATGAAGATAACGAAAGAACTGTCTGAGGGCAAGTGCAAGAAGAATAAATCCTTTGGCTATAAAGGAAGAAAGGCCTGGGTGAAGAACAACTGCCGTGCAGTATTCAAAGTTTGCTACAAGCCAAAAGGCGATGAAGGTTTGTTTTCACCTGAGTACTGGAAAACAATCTCGCATTCAACTTATCAAAGTTATTACTTCTGGTTTGCTTATGTCGTCTACCTTCTCTTGACATTTTTGTGAGGTTTTCAATAGGTGTCCTCCTACCTCGTTTGTTGCGCTTGCATTCCAAATCTGATTCATTTATGTGCCACTCCGGAGTTTCAAGAACTTCTCCCACTGACTGATTCTGCTACTTTTTTCCTCCCTTCATTCCACATACTTTAAGGGATAAAAATGGAAAAGTTCGAAAAACATTCTGCCTTTCTGAAGGCACCCATTATCTGATTTTTCCTAACGTCATTCAATCGGTATCACTCTTGGCCTAAGATTTGGAACTTCTGTCGTATTTACATTCGTGGTCATTTTTGTTGTTCTTGGTTTTTCTTCTGGGAAAGTCAGAAATTGTTTATTCAAACAATAGTTTTACGTTTTGTAACTGGTTTCCTTCTCTTCCAATTATTTGGACACATTCCTATTTTCACATGTATTCGTTTGCGAAAATTCCGTGAATTTGGTTTGTAAGTTAGGTGCTTATGTCTGCAGTGTATTCTTTTAATCTTTTTCTTCAGACGATGATGAGGAAGAAGAAGAAGGCGGTAAAGGCAACTGCAGAAAGTTAAAACTAGAAAGCAAACAGAAAAAGAAAGACGAGAAATCTCTTTCAAAGGCCAAGAAAATCAAGTCAATGAAGATAACGAAAGAGCTGTCAAACGGCAAGTGCAAAAAGAATAAATCCTTTGGCTACAAAGGAAGGAAGGCCTGGGTGAAGAACAACTGCCGTGCAGTTTTCAAAGTTTGCTACAAGCCAAAAGGCGGCAAAGGCGACGAAGGTTTGTGTTTCCTTGAGCTCTTGAAAACCATTTTAGATCATACTTATCAAAACCACTACTTCCGGTCTGTGTATTTCGTGCGTCTTTTCGTGACTTTTCTATCAGCCATTCAATGGGTTGCTTTCTACCTTGTGTGTTGCGGCTGCAATCCAAATCGAAACCAAAGTTTCAAGAATTACTCCCACTGACTGATTCCGTTCCGTTTTGCTCACCACTTTTCACATTATTTTAAGGATAAAGGTGGAAAATTTGAAGAAAAACAAAGTACAAAAACATGAGATCTTTCTTGTGGATACCCTTCAATATTGTCTTTCTTAGCGCCATACTATCGTTACCAATCTTTGCCTAACTTTTGGAATTTCTTTCCTTTTGCCATTTATCTGCTTGGTTGGTGTTTATTTTTAGCATAACAGTTAATACTTGTTTGCTGCAACAATACTTTTCCCGTCTGTAACTAGTGACATGGAATCCCAGGTTTTTAAAAACATTCTATTAGCGGGTGTTTCTACGCATGTGTTAGCAAATTGTCGTAGAATGGGTATGTAAGTTAGGCGCTGACGTCTGCAGTATATTATTTTCACCTTTTCTCTCAGACGATGATGAGGAAGAAGGCGATGAAGGCGATAAAGGCAACTGCAGAACTTTAAAACTTGAAAGCAAAAACAAAGAAAAAGACCAGAAATCTCTTTCCAAGGCCAAGAAAATCAAGTCAATGAAGATAACGAAAGAACTGTCTGAGGGCAAGTGCAAGAAGAATAAATCCTTTGGCTATAAAGGAAGAAAGGCCTGGGTGAAGAACAACTGCCGTGCAGTATTCAAAGTTTGCTACAAGCCAAAAGGCGATGAAGGTTTGTTTTCACCTGAGTACTGGAAAACAATCTCGCATTCAACTTATCAAAGTTATTACTTCTGGTTTGCTTATGTCGTCTACCTTCTCTTGACATTTTTGTGAGGTTTTCAATAGGTGTCCTCCTACCTCGTTTGTTGCGCTTGCATTCCAAATCTGATTCATTTATGTGCCACTCCGGAGTTTCAAGAACTTCTCCCACTGACTGATTCTGCTACTTTTTTCCTCCCTTCATTCCACATACTTTAAGGGATAAAAATGGAAAAGTTCGAAAAACATTCTGCCTTTCTGAAGACACCCACTATCTGATTTTTCCTAACGTCATTCATTCGGTATCACTCTTGGCCTAACATTTGGAACTTCTGTCGTATTTACATTCGTGGTCATTTTTGTTGTTCTTGGTTTTTCTTCTGGGAAAGTCAGAAATTGTTTATTCAAACAATAGTTTTACGTTTTGTAACTGGTTTCCTTCTCTTCCAATTATTTGGACACATTCCTATTTTCACATGTATTCGTTTGCGAAAATTCCGTGAATTTGGTTTGTAAGTTAGGTGCTTATGTCTGCAGTGTATTCTTTTAATCTTTTTCTTCAGACGATGATGAGGAAGAAGAAGAAGGCGGTAAAGGCAACTGCAGAAAGTTAAAACTAGAAAGCAAACAGAAAAAGAAAGACGAGAAATCTCTTTCAAAGGCCAAGAAAATCAAGTCAATGAAGATAACGAAAGAGCTGTCAAACGGCAAGTGCAAAAAGAATAAATCCTTTGGCTACAAAGGAAGGAAGGCCTGGGTGAAGAACAACTGCCGTGCAGTTTTCAAAGTTTGCTACAAGCCAAAAGGCGGCAAAGGCGACGAAGGTTTGTGTTTCCTTGAGCTCTTGAAAACCATTTTAGATCATACTTATCAAAACCACTACTTCCGGTCTGTGTATTTCGTGCGTCTTTTCGTGACTTTTCTATCAGCCATTCAATGGGTTGCTTTCTACCTTGTGTGTTGCGGCTGCAATCCAAATCGAAACCAAAGTTTCAAGAATTACTCCCACTGACTGATTCCGTTCCGTTTTGCTCACCACTTTTCACATTATTTTAAGGATAAAGGTGGAAAATTTGAAGAAAAACAAAGTACAAAAACATGAGATCTTTCTTGTGGATACCCTTCAATATTGTCTTTCTTAGCGCCATACTATCGTTACCAATCTTTGCCTAACTTTTGGAATTTCTTTCCTTTTGCCATTTATCTGCTTGGTTGGTGTTTATTTTTAGCATAACAGTTAATACTTGTTTGCTGCAACAATACTTTTCCCGTCTGTAACTAGTGTCATGGAATCCCAGGTTTTTAAAAACATTCTATTAGCGGGTGTTTCTACGCATGTGTTAGCAAATTGTCGTAGAATGGGTATGTAAGTTAGGCGCTGACGTCTGCAGTATATTATTTTCACCTTTTCTCTCAGACGATGATGAGGAAGAAGGCGATGAAGGCGATAAAGGCAACTGCAGAACTTTAAAACTTGAAAGCAAAAACAAAGAAAAAGACCAGAAATCTCTTTCCAAGGCCAAGAAAATCAAGTCAATGAAGATAACGAAAGAACTGTCTGAGGGCAAGTGCAAGAAGAATAAATCCTTTGGCTATAAAGGAAGAAAGGCCTGGGTGAAGAACAACTGCCGTGCAGTATTCAAAGTTTGCTACAAGCCAAAAGGCGATGAAGGTTTGTTTTCACCTGAGTACTGGAAAACAATCTCGCATTCAACTTATCAAAGTTATTACTTCTGGTTTGCTTATGTCGTCTACCTTCTCTTGACATTTTTGTGAGGTTTTCAATAGGTGTCCTCCTACCTCGTTTGTTGCGCTTGCATTCCAAATCTGATTCATTTATGTGCCACTCCGGAGTTTCAAGAACTTCTCCCACTGACTGATTCTGCTACTTTTTTCCTCCCTTCATTCCACATACTTTAAGGGATAAAAATGGAAAAGTTCGAAAAACATTCTGCCTTTCTGAAGACACCCACTATCTGATTTTTCCTAACGTCATTCATTCGGTATCACTCTTGGCCTAACATTTGGAACTTCTGTCGTATTTACATTCGTGGTCATTTTTGTTGTTCTTGGTTTTTCTTCTGGGAAAGTCAGAAATTGTTTATTCAAACAATAGTTTTACGTTTTGTAACTGGTTTCCTTCTCTTCCAATTATTTGGACACATTCCTATTTTCACATGTATTCGTTTGCGAAAATTCCGTGAATTTGGTTTGTAAGTTAGGTGCTTATGTCTGCAGTGTATTCTTTTAATCTTTTTCTTCAGACGATGATGAGGAAGAAGAAGAAGGCGGTAAAGGCAACTGCAGAAAGTTAAAACTAGAAAGCAAACAGAAAAAGAAAGACGAGAAATCTCTTTCAAAGGCCAAGAAAATCAAGTCAATGAAGATAACGAAAGAGCTGTCAAACGGCAAGTGCAAAAAGAATAAATCCTTTGGCTACAAAGGAAGGAAGGCCTGGGTGAAGAACAACTGCCGTGCAGTTTTCAAAGTTTGCTACAAGCCAAAAGGCGGCAAAGGCGACGAAGGTTTGTATTTCCTTGAGCTCTTGAAAACCATTTTAGATCATACTTATCAAAACCACTACTTCCGGTCTGTGTATTTCGTGCGTCTTTTCGTGACTTTTCTATCAGCCATTCAATGGGTTGCTTTCTACCTTGTGTGTTGCGGCTGCAATCCAAATCGAAACCAAAGTTTCAAGAATTACTCCCACTGACTGATTCCGTTCCGTTTTGCTCACCACTTTTCACATTATTTTAAGGATAAAGGTGGAAAATTTGAAGAAAAACAAAGTACAAAAACATGAGATCTTTCTTGTGGATACCCTTCAATATTGTCTTTCTTAGCGCCATACTATCGTTACCAATCTTTGCCTAACTTTTGGAATTTCTTTCCTTTTGCCATTTATCTGCTTGGTTGGTGTTTATTTTTAGCATAACAGTTAATACTTGTTTGCTGCAACAATACTTTTCCCGTCTGTAACTAGTGTCATGGAATCCCAGGTTTTTAAAAACATTCTATTAGCGAGTGTTTCTACGCATGTGTTAGCAAATTGTCGTAGAATGGGTATGTAAGTTAGGCGCTGACGTCTGCAGTATATTATTTTCACCTTTTCTCTCAGACGATGATGAGGAAGAAGACGATGAAGGCGATAAAGGCAACTGCAGAACTTTAAAACTTGAAAGCAAAAACAAAGAAAAAGACCAGAAATCTCTTTCCAAGGCCAAGAAAATCAAGTCAATGAAGATAACGAAAGAACTGTCTGAGGGCAAGTGCAAGAAGAATAAATCCTTTGGCTATAAAGGAAGAAAGGCCTGGGTGAAGAACAACTGCCGTGCAGTATTCAAAGTTTGCTACAAGCCAAAAGGCGATGAAGGTTTGTTTTCACCTGAGTACTGGAAAACAATCTCGCATTCAACTTATCAAAGTTATTACTTCTGGTTTGCTTATGTCGTCTACCTTCTCTTGACATTTTTGTGAGGTTTTCAATAGGTGTCCTCCTACCTCGTTTGTTGCGCTTGCATTCCAAATCTGATTCATTTATGTGCCACTCCGGAGTTTCAAGAACTTCTCCCACTGAATGATTCTGCTACTTTTTTCCTCCCTTCATTCCACATACTTTAAGGGATAAAAATGGAAAAGTTCGAAAAACATTCTGCCTTTCTGAAGGCACCCATTATCTGATTGTTCCTAACGTCATTCAATCGGTATCACTCTTGGCCTAACATTTGGAACTTCTGTCGTATTTACATTCGTGGTCATCTTTGTTGTTCTTGGTTTTTCTTCTGGGAAAGTCAGAAATTGTTTATTCAAACAATAGTTTTATGTTTTGTAACTGGTTTCCTTCTCTTCCAATTATTTGGACACATTCCTATTTTCACATGTATTCGTTTGCGAAAATTCCGTGAATTTGGTTTGTAAGTTAGGTGCTTATGTCTGCAGTGTATTCTTTTAATCTTTTTCTGCAGACGATGATGAGGAAGAAGAAGAAGGCGGTAAAGGCAACTGCAGAAAGTTAAAACTAGAAAGCAAACAGAAAAAGAAAGACGAGAAATCTCTTTCAAAGGCCAAGAAAATCAAGTCAATGAAGATAACGAAAGAGCTGTCAAACGGCAAGTGCAAAAAGGATAAATCCTTTGGCTACAAAGGAAGGAAGGCCTGGGTGAAGAACAACTGCCGTGCAGTTTTCAAAGTTTGCTACAAGCCAAAAGGCGGCAAAGGCGACGAAGGTTTGTGTTTCCTTGAGCTCTTGAAAACCATTTTAGATCATACTTATCAAAACCACTGCTTCCGGTCTGTGTATTTCGTGCGTCTTTTCGTGACTTTTCTATCAGCCATTCAATGGGTTGCTTTCTACCTTGTGTGTTGCGGCTGCAATCCAAATCGAAACCAAAGTTTCAAGAATTACTCCCACTGGCTGATTCCGTTCCGTTTTGCTCACCACGTTTCACATTATTTTAAGGATAAAGGTGGAAAATTTGAAGAAAAACAAAGTACAAAAACATGAGATCTTGCTTGTGGATACCCTTCAATATTGTCTTTCTTAGCGCCATACTATCGTTACCAATCTTTGCCTAACTTTTGGAATTTCTTTCCTTTTGCCATTTATCTGCTTGGTTGGTGTTTATTTTTAGCATAACAGTTAATACTTGTTTGCTGCAACAACACTTTTCACGTCTGTAACTAGTGTCATGGAATCCCAGGTTTTTAAAAACATTCTATTAGCGGGTGTTTCTACGCATGTATTAGCAAATTGTCGTAGAATGGGTATGTAGGTTAGGCGCTGACGTCTGCAGTATATTATTTTCACCTTTTCTCTCAGACGATGATGAGGAAGAAGGCGATGAAGGCGATAAAGGCAACTGCAGAACTTTAAAACTTGAAAGCAAAAACAAAGAAAAAGACCAGAAATCTCTTTCCAAGGCCAAGAAAATCAAGTCAATGAAGATAACGAAAGAACTGTCTGAGGGCAAGTGCAAAAAGAATAAATCTTTTGGCTATAACGGAAGGAAGGCCTGGGTGAAGAACGACTGCCGTGCAGTATTCAAAGTTTGCTACAAGCCAAAAGGCGATGAAGGTTTGTTTTCACCTGAGTACTGGAAAACAATCTCGCATTCAACTTATCAAAGTTATTACTTCTGGTTTGCTTATGTCGTCTACCTTCTCTTGACATTTTTGTGAGGTTTTCAATAGGTGTCCTCCTACCTCGTATGTTGCGCTTGCATTCCAAATCTGATTCATTTATGTGCCACTCCGGAGTTTCAAGAACTTCTCCCACTGACTGATTCTGTTACTTTTTTCCTCCCTTCATTCCACATACTTTAAGGGATAAAAATGGAAAAGTTCGAAAAACATTCTGCCTTTCTGAAGGCACCCACTATCTGATTTTTCCTTACGTCATTCAATCGGTATCACTCTTGGCCTAACATTTGGAACTTCTGTCCTGTTTACATTCGTGGTCATTTTTGTTGTTGTTGTTTTTTCTGGTCAAGTCAGAAATTGTTTACTCAAACAGTAGTTTTACGGTCTGTAACTGGTTTCCTACCCTTCCAATTTTTTGGAAACATTTCTATTTTTACATGTATTCGTTTGAAAAAAAATCCGTGAATTGGGTTTGTAAGTTAGGTGCTGATGTCTGCAGTGTATTCTTTTAATGGTTTTTTTTTCAGAAGATGATGAGGAAGAAGAAGAAAACGGTAAAGGCAACTGCAGAAAGTTAAAACTAGAAAGCAAACAGAAAAAGAAAGACGAGAAATCTCTTTCCAAGGCCAAGAAAATCAAGTCAATGAAGATAACGAAAGAGCTGTCAAATCGCAAGTGCAAAAAGAATAAATCCTTTGGCTATAAAGGAAGGAAGGCCTGGGTGAAGAACAACTGCCGTGCAGTTTTCAAAGTTTGCTACAAGCCAAAAGGCGGCAAAGGCGACGAAGGTTTGTGTTTCCTTGAGCTCTTGAAAACAATTTTACAGCATACTTATCAAAACCACTACTTCCGGTCTGTGTATTTCGTGCGTCTTTTCGTGACATTTCTATCTGCAATTCAATGGGTTGCTTTCTACCTTGTTTGTTGCGGCTGCAATCCAAATCGAAACCAGAGATTCATGAATTACTCCAACTGACTGATTCCGTTCCGTTTTGCTCTCCACGTTTCACATTATTTTAAGGATAAATTTGGAAACTACGCAAAAAAACCAAAATACAAAAACATGATGTCTTTCTTGTGGATACCCTTCAATATGTTCTTTCCTAGAACCATACTATCGTTGCAAATCTTTGCCTAACTTTTGGAATTTCTTTTCTTTTGCCATTTATTGGCTGGGTTGGTGTTTTTCTAACATAACAGTTAATAATTGCTTGATGCAGCAATACTTTTCCTGTCTGTAACTAGTGTCATGGAACCTCAGGTTTTTGGAAACATTCTATTAGCGGGTACTTCTACGCATGCATTAGCAAATTGCCGTAGAATGGGTATGTAAGTTAGGCGCTGACGTCTGCAGTATATTATTTTCACCTTTTCTCTTAGACGATGATGAGGAAGAAGGCGATGAAGGCGATAAAGGCAACTGCAGAACTTTAAAACTTGAAAGCAAAAACAAAGAGAAAGACCAGAAATCTCTCTCCAAGGCCAAGAAAATCAAGTCAATGAAGATAACTAAAGAACTGTCTGAGGGCAAGTGCAAGAAGAATAAATCCTTTGGCTATAAAGGAAAGAAGGCCTGGGTGAAGAACGACTGCCGTGCAGTATTCAAAGTTTGCTACAAGCCAAAAGGCGAAGAAGGTTTGTTTTCACCTGAGTACTGGAAAACAATCTGGCTGCTTCTTTATCAAATTCATTGCTTTTGGTCTGTGTATCTGGTCTGCCTTCTGGTAAATTCTGCATCAGTATTTAAATGCATTGCTTTTCTCCGACATGTTACGGCTGCAATCCAAATCTTAGTCATATGAGAGCCTGTCTAAATTTGTAATAAATACTCCCGCCGACTGTTTCTGCTCCGTTTCGCTCCCAACCTTTCACGTGCTTTTCGCTATACAAATCAAATCCTTGAAGAAACATTCTGTCTTTCTGAAGGACACACCCCATGTGTTTTTTCCTAACGTCATAAAATCGGAATTAGTCTTGGCCTTACCTTTGGAATTTCTCTCATTTCTTACTGAGTCAGTAACTGAATACAGTGATAATAATTTTTCCGTCAGTAATTGATGTTATTGCCGTAGGATAATGTGGAAACATTTTTTCTTGTAGGTAATTGTTTACAGAAAATTAGCTTGATCAAAATAGGGAGAAAATGGTATATAAAATAGATGCTGACGTCTGCAGTATATTATTTTTACCTCTTCACTCAGACGATGATGAGGAAGAGGGCGATGATGGCGAGAAAGGCAACTGCAGAACTTTAAAACTTGAAAGCAAAAACAAAGAAAAAGACGAGAAATCTCTTTCCAAGGCCAAGAAAATCAAGTCAATGAAGATAACGAAAGAACTATCAGGGGGCAAGTGCAAGAAGAATAAATCCTTTGGCTATAAAGGAAAGAAGGCCTGGGTGAAGAACGACTGCCGTGCAGTATTCAAAGTTTGCTACAAGCCAAAAGGCGATGAAGGTTTGTTTTCACTTGAGAACTGGAAAACAATCTTGCTTTCAACTTATCAAAGTTATTACTTTCTGGTTTGTTTATGTCGTCTACCTTCTCTTGACATTTTTGTGAGGTTTTCAATAGGTGTCCTCCTACCTCGTTTGTTGCGCTTGCATTCCAAATCTGATTCATTTATGTGCCACTCCGGAGTTTCAAGAACTTCTCCCACTGACTGATTCTGCTACTTTTTTCCTCCCTTCATTCCACATACTTTAAGGGATAAAAATGGAAAAGTTCGAAAAACATTCTGCCTTTCTGAAGGCACCCACTATCTGATTTTTCCTAACGTCATTCAATCGGTATCACTCTTGGCCTAACATTTGGAACTTCTGTCGTATTTACATTCGTGGTCATTTTTGTTGTTCTTGGTTTTTCTTCTGGGAAAGTCAGAAATTGTTTATTCAAACAATAGTTTTACGTTTTGTAACTGGTTTCCTTCTCTTCCAATTATTTGGACACATTCCTATTTTCACATGTATTCGTTTGCGAAAATTCCGTGAATTTGGTTTGTAAGTTAGGTGCTTATGTCTGCAGTGTATTCTTTTAATCTTTTTCTTCAGACGATGATGAGGAAGAAGAAGAAGGCGGTAAAGGCAACTGCAGAAAGTTAAAACTAGAAAGCAAACAGAAAAAGAAAGATGAGAAATCTCTTTCAAAGGCCAAGAAAATCAAGTCAATGAAGATAACGAAAGAGCTGTCAAACGGCAAGTGCAAAAAGAATAAATCCTTTGGCTACAAAGGAAGGAAGGCCTGGGTGAAGAACAACTGCCGTGCAGTTTTCAAAGTTTGCTACAAGCCAAAAGGCGGCAAAGGCGACGAAGGTTTGTGTTTCCTTGAGCTCTTGAAAACCATTTTAGATCATACTTATCAAAACCACTACTTCCGGTCTGTGTATTTCGTGCGTCTTTTCATGACTTTTCTATCAGCCATTCAATGGGTTGCTTTCTACCTTGTGTGTTGCGGCTGCAATCCAAATCGAAACCAAAGTTTCAAGAATTACTCCCACTGGCTGATTCCGTTCCGTTTTGCTCACCACGTTTCACATTATTTTAAGGATAAAGGTGGAAAATTTGAAGAAAAACAAAGTACAAAAACATGAGATCTTTCTTGTGGATACCCTTCAATATTGTCTTTCTTAGCGCCATACTATCGGTTGCAATCTTTGCCTAACTTTTGGAATTTCTTTCCTTTTGCCATTTATCTGCTTGGTTGGTGTTTATTTTTAGCATAACAGTTAATACTTGTTTGCTGCAACAATACTTTTCCCGTCTGTAACTAGTGTCATGGAATAGCAGGTTTTTAAAAGCGTTCTATTAGCGGGTGTTTCTACGCATGTGTTAGCAAATTGTCGTAGAATGGGTATGTAAGTTATGTCGCTGACGTCTGCAGTATATGATTTGCACCTTCTCTCTCAGACGACGATGAGGAAGAAGGGGATGAAGTAGAAAAAGACAAATA